GGCCAACATATCCAACAGAGAGGTTCCGAAGATGGTGGAATTCCAAGCCTTTCGGGCCAAATTCCACCTCAAGGTTTACCTCAACCCAAACCTCAAGGACAACCAAAGCCAACTGCTGGAGGATTGGATACTTCCTTCAGTACTTTAGTTGGTAACACTATTTTCACCACTAACCCGAACCTTAGAAGGGCTTTCCAAGCTTCGTTATCAAGAGCTGTGCGAGAATGTGCTGTTCCAATCTTGAGTAAGACAAGTGAATCTGTCATTACAACAACTGAGGCTTTGATTAAGAAGGACTTTGCTTACGAGGGAGATATCAACAAATTCCGTAAGAGTTACCAGTCTTTGGCTGTTAAGTTAGCTCAAAGTATTATTGGCTCAAGTGGCCGGAAAATCCTTATTGAAACAATACAAGCTTTTATGGTCAGACTATTATCGCATCAACTCAATCCTAACGACATTCCATTAGGAGAGTTGAGCTCAGCAATTCAATCGAATGTTGATTTGTGTGTTGACATTGTAAACAAACTTGCAGTGGGAAACATCATTGAACTCATTGAAGAGAAAATGAAGTATAGTGTTCTTGAAAGGGAACAGAACCAACCTGGTCAACGTTTTGTGGAAAAGGATGCCAACGGTTACGCATTAAACTTACAACCTCCATTGGGTTTGAAACCAGAAGGTCTCTTACCAAGTCAATTGGCTGTTTATGAGAACTTTAGTGCTTCTATTGTTCGTCCTGAAGTTGTTTCCCAGCCTCAAGCACCTCCTCAACCTCAAGGATTGCAATCTTTGGGTCAACCACAAGCTCCACCTACCAGTGCTCTTTTGCATCCCCCTCAACAACAGCAACCGGGTGCCCCTGGACTTCCTGTGCCCCAGGATGATACTACTGCCATTACTGATCAGTTGTTCGCTGCCATCACTCAAAGTTGTGACAAAGCTATCCTGAGTCTTGCCGATAATTACACTACCACTTTGGCAGAGATACCTCAAGACCATGTGATCATGCAATGTATTACCAATGTGTTGACGCTCGCACAAGGGAATGCTTTGAAGTATCCCGAATTGTTGCTAAAGGTTGCGCAATATGCTGTTAACTGCCTTTTCACTCAAGCTCACGAAAATCCAATCAGTAATGAGATCTATGTGGTAATCTTGGACAAATTGTGTGAATATTCTCCTTCAACTGCGAAGGATGTGACTTGGTGGTTAGTTCATTCCTCAGATCAGAGAAAGTTGAACATATCTGTCATGTACTCTTTATTGAAGGTGCAGTTGATCCAACCAACTAAGTTGGATACATCGATCAGTAAATTGATCACGGAGACCAAGAATCCATTGATAGTCACCTTTGCAGCTAATTTGTTGGGAATCATATACACCAGCAAAGATCCAAGACCTATTGCTTTGAGATCAGAGTTTGCATTGTCGTTAGCCAGCTTATCCAAATACGAAGGTGACCAATCCATTGAAGGTACCAAAGAAGCTAGAGAAGCTCGCGATAAACTTTTTGAGCTCTTAAATGATAACGCTCTAGTGACTGCCAACAGTGAAATGTACAGTCAATTGGGTTATATTTTCACCGAATGGTTCAAGTTATTGACTCACGGTGACTGCAATGAAGAATTAAAGGACGAGTTTGTCAAAGGTTTATTCAAGACGGAGATTTTGACAGATCCGGAACTCTTCAGTATGTTCTTCAAGTCGGCCATTGAAGTATCTATCACTTCTTTTGCTATGGAACATGATATTAGAAGTAGAACACAGCATGAAGCTTTGCTAGTGGTGGATGCTTTGGCGGCCTTGATAGTCCATATTCTTATTAAGTTCGACAAGAATAATGTTGAAGATGCCGTCGAGTATTTCAAAAATATTATGGGTGTGATTCTCGTTTCATTTACAAATGATCACGAATCGTCCAATGGTCAATGGAGCGAAAGAGCTTACTTCAAGTTCTTTTCGTCTTTGTTGTGTTACTGGAATGATGCTTCCATGATGCAAGTTGATGCTACTGTTCATATGGATATTCAATTTTTCAACTTTGTTGGTGATATCTTCTATTCTTTGCAACCAATTATCTTCCCAGGATTCACCTTTGCGTGGATTTCATTAATAAGCCACAGAATGTTCTTACCTAGGGTATTGGAATTACCTAATAAGACGGGACACGGAATATTGGTTAAGCTTTTGACACCATTATTGAGATTTGAATCCATTTACTCAGTAGATGAATCAGTCAACTATGATGTGATTTGTGTTATTTTTAAAGCCATCAACCGTATCTTTGTTGGATTATTCCATGACTATCCTGATTTTTTCAGCGAAAACTACTTGCAGTTATTAGCTTGCATTCCTGCCAGCTACATCCAATTGAGAAATATTGTGTTGAGCGCAACTCCAAAGGGAATCACCTTAGAGAACCCGTTCAAACGGGGATTGAAGGTTGAGAGAATTAGCGACATGAAGAAAGCTCCTATCATCTTTTTGGACCCAACTGAAGATATCGTCAAACTGGGATTGAGGAGACCAGTGGACAACTATTTGAGAATTCCTGGTCCTGGGTTGATCAAGGCTGTTTACAACGGATTGAAATTGAGTAAACCTAAACAAGTTAAAGAGTTTGAGTTTGATTCTGTTAACTACAACGTCGGTCTTATCAACTCGTTGGTTTTATACGTAACTTTGTCAGAAGGTCAAGAAAATGGGGGTGCTTTCCAACCTAAGGATGCGCATGTGTCTATATTCTTTGACTTGTTGAGCATCGGATCTACTGAGTTTAAGTTCCACCTCATTAACGCTTTGGCGAATCAGTTAAGGTATCCTAACACCCACACAAACTGGCTGGTGGGATTATTTTTACACTTCTTCAACGCAAAGACCTGGAGCAACAGTGAAAGCAGGATCACAGTTCAAGAGCTTATCACCAGAGTGTTGCTCGAAAGACATGTGGTGAACAAACCACATCAATGGGGATTGACGATTTTGCTCACAGAGTTGATCAAGAACGATACCTACAACTTTTTTGAGTTGCCGTTTGTCAAGAATTCGCCACCCGAAATCAAATTGGTATTTGATTCATTGTACACAAACATCACTACCACCCCATAATAAGAAACCAGTTTATGCTGGCTGTAAATTAGCTATGTAGAATATTACTAAAATATATCTTTCTTTTCAAACTCGGTCGTGTGATTCGAATACCAATATTTTGGTTTCTCACAAATCGATCGAATTTGAAAAACCGCAAATTCCACCAGTGTAGGTTCACAAACACAACAGATCAAAAATGTCCAGAGTGAAAAGAATCGCCAAAGAGCTAGAAGAATGCAAGCAAGATTCCCATTCAGGTGTGAGCTTGAAGCTCAACAATGAGACCGATTTGACCCACTTAACGGGAGTTTTTAAAGGACCTCCAGGTACTCCTTATGAGGGTGGTAACTTCCAAGTGGATATAAATGTCCCCAGTGAATATCCTTTCAAACCTCCACAAATGAAGTTCATCACCAAGATCTACCACCCCAATATATCATCTGTAACCGGTGCCATTTGCTTGGACATCTTGAAAGATGCCTGGTCTCCAATCTTGACGTTGAAATCGTCTTTGATTTCTTTGCAGTCATTGTTACAGTCGCCGGAGCCCGATGACCCTCAAGATGCCGAGGTTGCCAAGCACTACTTGAGTGACAAGAAGGGATTCAATGATACGGCAGCATATTGGACTAAGATTTACGCCAGTGATGTGGATGCGGGTCAAGCAGAATTGAGTGATTCGGCCCTTTATGGAATTGACAACGACATCGTTGTTCAATTCGAGAACATGGGGTTCCCCAGAGACAAGACCATTGAGGTGCTTCGGAGAATGGGGATCAAGAACTTGAATAGTGTTAGTAACAAGAGTGAAACAGAGAACAAGATCTTGGAGGAGCTTTTGAAAGAATGTCAGTAATCGTGATGCACTAGGAATTTATACGTGGTTCTAATCCCTATGTCCTTATACTCTACGCTCATGGATGTCATTGTTGTAGTTTCTATATAATTAAGAATACACAGTATGAACTTAAGGTGGCGGTAGTGCATGTATCAAGAAAGTGAAAATTTTTTGAAACTGTGAGATAAGTTGAGGTGGAAACTCAAATTCAAATTCGAATCAAATCATATTTGTGGACATAAATTCATGACGAGTAGTTCGGACGTTGGAGGAAGTGACACCAAAGGAGAAGCCGGTCAGACTGATGCCAAACCATCGGCCGTGAAGTTGGGACTCGACCGTGCTAATTCCATTGGATGGTTCTTTATTGAATCCTACTATGAGATGTACAACAAGAACCCGGAAAACTTATATAAATTGTACAACTCCGAAGCGTCGATAAGCCACGGCGACATCCCCGGTGTTTCCCAAGCCGTTCGTCAGGCCACCGGCACCGAGTCCATCAAATCGTTGTACAAGGATTTGCAGGCTGCTCAAATCAAAAACAAGATCATTGTTATCAATGCTGATATTCAAATCAGTTTGAGAAACAGTATATTGATTGTGGTCAATGGAGAATGGTCCAAGAACTCCTCGCCTTACTACCAATTCAACCAAACGTTTATTTTATCTTGCGGTATCAACGAGTCCAACTACGAGGTTGCCAACGACATCTTGAGGTTCATCGACTACGACTTCAAACACGACAAAATCGTCGAGAAAGAGAAGCAGACTGAGATTGCAGTTGTAGAGGAACTCGCTGAAGAAGAACCCACTCAAAATGGAGTTACTGTCGATGACGTGGACGAACCTGCCGAAGAACCTGAGGAAGTGGCTGAGGAGCAGGTTGAAGAAAGCGAAGCAGCAAAGTCAGATGTTTCTGAAAAGGAACAACCTGAACCCGAATTGGAAGCTGTTGAGTTCGATAAGGAAAAGACCGAAGAACCGGCTCCTGCTTCTGGCCCTCTTTCCTGGGCTGCTTTGGCTGCAACTGCGAAAGATAAATCTCCTAAACCCGCTTCTGTCCCCAAAACCGCTGCCAAGAAGCCCACCGGTGTTGCTACCGCTCCTACTCCCGTACCATCGCCTTCGGCCTTGCCCAACGGCAAGTACAAAAAGGAAGATTGGTTTCCCATCTACGTCCGTGGCTGCGAAGATATCAAGGAAGACGACTTGAAAGACCACTTGAAAATGAACTTCGGAGAAATAAAGTTTTTCAAACAGAACTCCAACATTGCATTAATTGACTTTCTTAACGTCGATGGCCAAAGAAAGGCTTTGGGGGCCAAGAAAACCGTTGTCAATGGTATCACCATTTTTTTGGAGGTGAGAGAATCCAAGAACGGTAGAAAAGATCCTAAAGCCAAAGAAAAACCCCACGACGCCAAACGTAAGAATGACAAAAAACAGGTCCCAAAGAAAAAGTGATCTAGTAGGTCTGTCACCATCTGATTTATACCTTAATTCACTATTTGTACATACGCTATCATAAACGTATCCATCATCAAGTGGTCGCACTTTTCTCGTAGAAAACCAAACCAGAAAACCAAATCAAAACTCAGCCATTATTTTACCAGATGAATTTCTTAAGGAAAAGAAGGGGCGATTATAACTCTGATAGCGACAATGATGATATCAATGCCAACAAGTCCAAGATCCATAAATCTAGGAAACCGCCAAATACTGCTTTCCGCCAGCAAAGATTGAAGGCCTGGCAACCTATAATGACGCCAAAATCTGTGATACCCTTTTTGTTTGTGCTAGCATGTATTTTTGGTCCATTGGGAATTGGAATCATATATACCGTTGCAAACATTGAGTATTTGTCTATTGACTATACCCATTGTGCCTCGAAAGCCAGTAGTTCGTTCAAAGCAGTTCCTTCTAGTTACGTGGGACATCATTTTCGCTCCAAAAACACGAGTCCGGAGTTCAAGTGGAGAACTGACTCAGCAAAAGATAGCTTTGGAGATGAGATCAGTACGTGCTATATTCAGTTTAATCTTCCCAAGGATTTGAAGCCTCCAATTTATGCATATTACCACTTGACCAATTTTCACCAGAACCACCGGAAGTATGTCGAGAGTTATGATTTGGAGCAGTTAAAAGGAATAGCCGTGTCAGCACATGATGTGGATGATAACTGTTCTCCTTTGGACTTTGAAGGGTCCGGAGACGACAAGAAAATCATCTATCCATGTGGGTTGATTCCAAATTCGTACTTCAATGATTCGATTTCAAACTTGACCTTGTTGAATACCAAATCCACCCAAGACAACGAAACATACGTGTTGTCTCAAACCGGAATCTCCTGGTCTTCTGATGTTAAGCATAAGTATAAGAAAACTAAGTACGATCCAAGTGATATTGTTCCTCCGCCAAACTGGTACAAAATGTATCCGAAAGGGTACACCAAATCCAACATCCCTGACCTTCAGCTGTGGGAGCTCTTACAGAACTGGATGAGAACAGCAGGATTGTCTTCTTTTTACAAGCTTTATGGAGTCAACAAAACTGAGACATTATCATCAGGAACTTACGAGACCCAAATTGTTCTCAACTATCCGGTATCGATTTTCCACGGAACCAAGTCGTTGGTGATAACTACGAATTCGATCTTTGGAGGCCGCAATTATGCTTTGGGAGTGGTTTACTTGGTGGTGGCAGTCTTGTCTCTCGCGTTGGCAATTGCATTTCTTATCCAAACAATTATAAAGCCCAGAAAAGTAGGGGAACATGACTTCCTCCAAGGCTCCACGAGGGAGCCCACCAACTTCAGAGAACAGTTGTAACGAATATGTATACTGCTTTCTATTGTATAATTACATCTCAAAATCTATATTTGCAAAAGTAACACAAAAATAAAAAAGTGCGAGGTATTTTCAACGAAAAACCTGATTGCACTGACATTACAATTAGGTGGCTAGACATTAGAGAAACTCCAATATTTAACTCTGGAATCGAAGTATCCAGTGATATTTGAATCTTACATTCAGTTCAGGAAAAATATCAGTTACACCACCAAAAGCTGGCTTCTCTTTTTCTAACATGAACGTTCCTCACATCCAGTACTTGCAACAGCATCAGATGCCTCAGCAAGGAGTGAATAATAATTCACAATCACCTCAGGTTTCACAGATCCAGTTACAACAACAACAACATTTGCAACAACGTCAACAGATATTGAACCAGCATTTACAACAACAACAACAACAGCAGCAACAGCAACAGCAACAGTCTCATGGCCAAGGGCCAAATGTTAATACTCCCAATGCCATTAACCCATTGTTGGCCATAATTAACGGAGGAAACAACAACAATGTCTCGTCCAACAACAACCAAGGTGTTAACATGCAACAGATGCAACAGATGCAACAATTGCACCAGTTACAACAACAACCTCAACAACAGCCTCAAGCTCCTTACCAACAGCAGCAACAGTTCCAAAACCAAATTCACCCTATTCAGCAGTTGCAGCAGCTCCAAGCCCATGCTCCAATCCCACAGCCTACTCACCAAGTACCCATTATTCGTGAAGTTTGGAGTAATAACTTGGAACATGAATTTCATGCTTTAAGGGCGTTTGCTAACGACAAGGTCAACTCTGTGTATATCTCCATACACCAAGAAATCCCTGGGATAGTTTCGAGGCCCGTGGGATCCTTTAAATCCCAAGCGGATTATCATTTTCAAACGTTAAGATCAAATGCTGACTTATTGAATTTGATTCAGTTATCATTATGCGTGGTAAAGGTTAACAAAAACAATGAATTCAGTAACTCCATCATTTGGCAGTTCAACTTCTTATACGACATATCGAAAGAAATGTTCAACGAAGAACACTTGTCAATGTTGGCGCAGAATTCTCAAATAAACTTCCAATTGGCAATGACCGAAGGTATTCACCATTTCAATTTTGCCGAATTGATGCTTGAGAGTGGGTTACTTTTAGACAAAACCATCCACTGGGTGAGCTTCCATGGTGGTTATGACCTTGGATACTTTGTTAGCTTATTGAAGAACGACGCTTTACCAATCAATGAAGAAGATTTCCACTGGTACTGCAACAAATACTTTCCTAACTTCATAGACTTGAAGTTAATTGGAAGCCAGTTGTTGAACAAGTCTTCTACACCTGATGGTAAAGCATCTAAACCTTCCATTGAATACTTGGCAGAAGAGTTACATTTATTACCTATATCTCCGGTAGTACGCCAATTTTTCTCCAGCACCTCAAACAACCAAAGTAACCAACAATTGACCTCGACATTACATGCCTATTTGATCATGGAATGCTTTAAAGAGTTGTTGAGACAATCTGGATTCGACTTCATCTTATTCTCCAAGTTTTCAGGGTTGATCTGGGGATTGAATATGGGTGAGAATGGCCCTAGTGTTGGAAATGGTTCAGGACCATCTACTCCAGGGACAACAGTTAAGTCTGGAGTGGTTCACTTTGGAAGACCCTTCTAACAAGCAATGTATAGTAATAATGCATTAATGTATATTATAAATATCTTTAAAAACGCCATGGAGAAAATTCCGTGCTTAATCTTTGATTCCTTCCCAGTCTTGCTCTTCCTTACCTTCCACTTGGTCATCGTCATCACTATCATTATTGGGTTTTTGTTTCTTGTATTCATCCATATCTTGCTGAAGAGCCTTCTCTTCTCTTTCAGCTCTCTTTCTCTTGATTCCGGCTCTCTTATCTTCACCTTCTCTAATTTCTTCGTCTTGAGGTGGGGCAGTAAACCAAGGAATCTTCCCTCTGTTGAAATCATTCAAAACTTGTTTGGCAACTCCATGTTCGTCAGGTTCACCACCCTTTAATAACTTACCATGCTTTCTAGCAATCAACTCAATAAACTCAGCACTGGCTTCTTCCAATAAAGAAGCGTCTTCCTCAAACTTCTTCCAGCCCTTTATTTCATAGGTTCTTTCTAAATGCTTTCTTTCACACTTGTTTAACAAGTCAGGAATATATTGCTCTGGATTGGAAACATGTTCAACTCTCACAACACCTCTGAACAAGATATCAGACGAAGAATCTTTTGAAGAAGGTGGTACAATACCAGGACAATCAATTAAAAAGATTTTCTTCATCAATGTGATATACTGCCACACCTTGGTTTCACCAGGAATAGGAGCCACTTGACAAACCTTCTTACGACGCAAAGTGTTGATGATTGAAGACTTTCCAGTATTAGGGTATCCGATGAAACCAACTGAAATCTGCTTACGGTCTGCATGCAAAGTGGAAAATTGACGTAATAATTGGATCAAAGACCCCTTACCAAACGAGTTGGTAATGGAAGCATGAAATGCTAAAGTTGGATAGGTTTTGGATAAATGTTTAACCCACGCAGCCTATAATTTGTTAGTAATTTAGATCAACTAAATTCGGGTTGGTTGTTTGATGTTTCCAAATGGAAGACGGAGAGATAAAAAATGTCGGTATCTATACTACGAATCATCCCATGAAAAAGAAAAAGGAGATTCAACTCAAGAAGTCACCGTAATTATCCTGGGGTGAGCCAGCAAAAACTGCCAGCTCGATGTAGACAAAACCAACTCCAAAACGGAAAAGGTACCAAGACAAAGTCCTGGGTCTACGGACGAATAATATCAATATTCCAAAGACGTAACAGGCAATTTTTTGGGAAAGTAACGGAATAGAATCAGTTGCAAATCACCCTGACTTATGCTTTGGGGCCTTCTTTTGAAACCATCAACAACCAACAATTCAACACTTCTTATACATACAGCAATCCACGTTGGAACCAAGTCACACTTGTTCAACACATAGATCAAATGCTTATGAGGACATTCATCTTTCATATACTTTTCAACAGATTCACACCTTGTTCCTAAAGGATCCCTTGCATCTAAAACATGGATCACCACATCAGATGAATCGATAACCTTGTACAATTCGTTCCAAATTCTCTTGGATTGACCTTTACTGAAAATAGCCTCCTTGGCTTCTTGTGTAATACCATCTTGATCCATCAAGGATCCTCCCATCAATCCCAAAGTCGAGTTCAATTCGAGCTTTTCTTGGAATTCTGCAGAGTCCTTCTCGGTAGCCTGAGCAAGTTCTTCCAAACTCGATACTTGTAAGTTTCTAGGTTTTTTACGCTGTTGCTTGGGACCAAAAGCCAGACCATACGACTCCGTTTCTATGATTTTCAGGATTGGTGATTCTGTGGTATCTTTTTCGTCCAATAAAGACATGGGCAACTTATTACGTCTCAATAAAACTTGATAGGCATTGTCTTTTTTGTCAGCCATGGCATTTCTGAAATGAGTTAAAGCATCTTGAGCAATGACTCTGGTATTTACGAACCACTTTCTGTTGGGGTCGACTCTGGCAGTAGGGGCATCGGTAGATTGTAAAGCAGCAGATTGCACAATCTCACCTTTGGCGTTACGGACAGCATGTCCTCCTTTGTACATGTTCAAGAACTTGACTCTTTTGGTATCACGGTAGAAGTTCTCACCCTTGACACGGATATTACCATCCTTGGTGTCCCCTTGCCTTATTCTTCTTTGTTTTTCTTTCTTACCAGTTCCCATCTCGCTTTGACTATATTTTTTTTTCCACTGAGATGAGATGAGGATTTTAAGAGCAGGGCGTGCGCGCGCAAACATGGTTGCAAATAATGAGAATGTATCTATAGCCATATTTAGTAGCTGATTTCTAATAAAGTGAAAGAATGCTTAGCAAAGGTAAATGGAATGGCATTATTAATATCCTGAGAAAATTCGACATCAGATTCCTTCACAGAGATTTTTTCGGGTTCCTCAAAACTGTTATACGCGAAGACATCATCGTCGTAAAGTAACCATTTGTGGACTTTGGACACCTTGGAAGTAAAGGAAATCTTGGTATGAGCATTTTCCTTATCGCATCTATTAACCACAGCAATGTAAGTCTTGTCACCATTTTGAACGGCAGAAGCGTCCAATAACGGAACCCCATAATTGCCCTTAATCCAAGTGTTTTGGCCACTATTGTTTCCAGCTTCACCTTCGTACATGGTGGTTTCAACGTGCAAGTTCAAGGCGTTTCCCCTCATGTAGTTGGAAAACAACCGGAAGGGATGGTAGGTAGTCTGCAAAAACATCGTGGATTCGTTGGTCATAATGGGTGCAATAACGTTCACCACCTGCGCAATGTTGCACATACCCAAACTTTCACTCTGTCTGACAAAAATATTTAACCAGGAAGCAACAGCAATGGCATCACTGAGAGTGTACCTTTCTTCAGCTCCCTCGACCCCGTCTGCTCTCTCTGGGTCCCAGACGTTCCACTCATCAAAACAGATCTTGACCTTTTTCTTCTCTCCGTTGAGCGCAGTGAGTCCATTGAATACCCGAGGGTTCAGAGTGGTTGCAAGATCAATGAGACCCTTGGTGACCTGAATAGCAGCTTCGGCCGCTACTGGAGCAGTGACATTCTTGAGAAAGTCATCGTTGGCGGTATACATGTGAATAGAGTGAAAGTCAACCCAGTTGATCAACTTGTCCAACACGTAGTGGTCCCAGTTGTCGATACCAGTGCACCCACAAGACACCAACTGAACGTTGGGATCCAAAAGCTTGATGGCCTTAGCCCATTCAGCCGCTTTGGTGGAATATTCTTCCTGGCTCATTTGGCCCACTTGCCATGGACCCCAGACTTCATTTCCAAGACCCCAGTACTTGATGTTATAAGGCTCTGGATGACCATGCTTGCGTCTCAAGTTGGCGTAGTATGTGTTGGCACTTGAGTTACAATATTCGACCCAACCAAGAGCTTCATCTAAGGTTCCAGTGCCCATGTTGAGACAGAAGTAGGGCTCAACGTCCATATAGCGACACCACTCCATGAACTCATTAGTACCAAACTCATTACTTTCCTCACCTTTCCAGGCCAATTCAGGTCGTCTGGGACGGTCCTCTTTAGGACCAACCCCATCGATCCAGTGGTAGGATGAAACAAAGTTTCCCCCGGGCCATCTTACAACCGGCATGTTGAGATCTTTGATGGCTTGAGAAACATCTTGTCTGTATCCCAATTCATTGACCTTACATTTGGGGTTTTCGGAGTAGTCGACCAATCCTCCGTATATACATCTACCCAAATGTTCCACGAAACCGGCGTAGATTTTTTCGTCAATGGCAGATAAAATACGTTTGGGGTCAACACTAATGGCTGAATGTTCAAGCGACTTTACGGTAGTCACGGTTTGGCCAAATACAGACATTGTGGTTGAGATTTGGAGGACGCAAAAATGTTGGAATAGTGCCTGGAGGAGCCATGTTCTTAAGTACCCCACATGCCCAGCTTCAAAGATGGGGCGCTAGTGGAAAAACTAATTATCGGTTTTATGGCCCCACATTACCCCATGTTTGTGCAAGCGGGCCAATAAGTGCGGAGATACCCCATTTTAATTTTGCTGGTATAGGGGCGGCCAAGGGGGGTTTGCTCCACTCGGGTAACCTCCCTCAGGGATACAACAATGGACTGGAATAAATATCGCAACAGGTTTTACGATTTACTAGGGCCAATGCGGCAATGTCTCTCAATCGGTTCTCCATATGCGGGGCTTTTGCAACTGGCAAGTAGCAACGGAGCACAGGAAAACCCCGCGATATGCGGATGTCGCAAAAGCCCCTGGGAGCCAAAGTGACAGATGGATTAATTGTGCCATTCCAACGAGGGGGAGGCTTGGCTTGATGATAGGAAGCTCTTTCTAGGGTTACCTCTCTTGTTTGTCAGAAATTAGCTGTAAGATTCCAAATTTTGCAGTCAATTCAATAAACGGGATGCGACTTTGGATAAACAGAATGACAGCAACGAGGGGACACTTTGATATACGATCTACCATTCACAATAGAATCCCTGACACCAGATTGGTCCCTTCACCCAAAGCAAAAGTAGCCTGTTATTGACCCCATGTCGCGACGACATCCTGATACAAGTGATCTCCTCCTTTGGGGTCAGTGGGTCTGTACCCGATCCCGTAAACCACAGATACTAAGAATGGGGTCTCGATGTGGGGCTGACATACCCCCACCAAAAAATGGAGCTGCCTGGTATATAAGCAGCGCAATTTTCACGATATCACCTGTACTCGTCAGAAATGGCTCTTAATCCTAAGTTATACCAATTTCTCATCTGTTGTTTTGCTTCCATTGGAAGTTTTGCTTATGGGTACGATCTTTCGGTCATTGCCCAAGTAGTGGCCTCTGAAAGTTTTGTCAGTCTGATGCACCCCACTACCAACGAGTCGAGTGCTGTGGTGTCGTTGTTCACAGGAGGTGCCTTTTTTGGGTCATTCTTTGCTGGCTACTTATCGGACTACATTGGAAGGAAGTACACTATTAGTGTTGGGTGCTTGGTGTTTATCTTAGGAGGGATCTTGCAAGCTGCATGCACAAATATTGGAATGCTTTTGGCCGGCCGGTTTATTGCTGGAGTAGCAGTTGGAAAGCTTTGTATGATCATTCCATTGTTCCAGGCCGAATTATGTCACCCTTCTATCAGAGGAACTGTCACTTCGCTTCAACAGTTCTTTTTGGGAATTGGGGCTTTGGCATCTTCATGGATTGCCTACGGGTCTTACATTGGTTTGGCAGGCTCGGAAAAACAATTTAGAGTGCCCTTGGGACTTCAGGTGGTGCCCATCGGATTATTGTTTTTCGCAACCTACTTTCTTCCTGAAAGTCCAAGATGGTTGGCTGCTCATGGTAAGCAAGACAAGGCCTTAATTACACTTGCCAATTTGCATTCAAATGGGAATGTTCAGGATTCAGAGTGTAGGGCTCAGTACGAAGAGATCATTGAAGAGGTGGAGTTCGAGAAACTCAATCCTACTTTGAGTTGGATTGGTCTTTTCTCTACAAAGGACAGAGCCAGAAGAGTGGTGTTGTGTTGCGCGTTGCAAGCATCTGTCCAGTTGACAGGGGTGTCTTCCATTCAATATTTTAGTCCTACAATTTTTGCCAATATGGGGTTGAGCACAGGAAGAACATTGCTTTATCAGTCGATCAACTCGATCATTGCCTTGATTGCCCAAGCATTGTGTGTGTTAACCATTGATAAGACTGGTAGAAGATGGGTTCTTATTTCCTGTAATGCCTTGAGTTGTCTTTGCTTTATCGTTGCAACCATTTTGTTGGCTACTTTCCCTGCTGCTACCACTACCAGTAGACCCGCCCAAATCGGATTTATCGCCAGTACTTGGATCTACAACTTTGTTTTCAGTTACGGAATTGGTCCTCTTTCGTGGGTGATTCCTTCTGAAAGTTTCAATTTGCAGATGAGAGCTAAAGGTATTTCGTTGGCAACTATGGTGTCCTTTGCTTTCAACACCATGTTTGGCCAGGTCACCACCGTTGCCATGGAACAAGTTGGTTATAAGTTCTACTTCACCTTCTGTGTGTGTTGTGCCAGTAATGCTGTGTTTTTCTGGGCTTTCATGCCTGAAACCAGAAGAGTTCCTCTTGAGCTCTCAGACGAATACTGGAGAGAAGCTCCTTACTTTATTCCCGGATGGAGGCCAACCAGAAACTATGACGAAGACTTGAAAGAAAAGATTGAGCTTCTCGAGACAGGAAGAAACTTCGAGGGAGGTTCTGTTGACGACTTCAAGGTTGATGTTGAACATAACGAGTAATTGTGTAGCTATTCCACTTATACTATTGTTAAGCTAGTGAAACCGGTTTTCATTTCTCTATTAATGTATAAATATGTGTTTGCAAAAGTGACATTTTACCCCTTTAACCTGGGACCAATTTGCAACTAGTTAGTTTTTGCGACCCCAAATTTTGTCATTGATTTAGGTTTTCGAGGCTCTGCGTCGATAACATTTACAATATACCCAATGACACAGACCAATGCCTTTCTCCTGAACTTATCTCCCACCGAGGAGCATTTCTTGAAGAAGTTCTTGATGGAAAAGCGGTTGGAAACTGAACTCAAGCTATTGGCCAGGCCTGATTGCTTACAATTATTTGGAACTCCATTTGACTCCAAAACCACCGATGCTGACACCGATTCATTCCCATTATCGAGATACTTCTTCAACAATTACATTAACAGCTTCCCATTCATTACCAACAATACCAAGAAAGATCAAGAAAAGTTTTGGAAACATACGGTTCAGCCGTTTGTGGAGAGTGTGAATCAAAAACAGCTTTCCAACTCCAATGATAGGAAAGAACACACAACAAAGAGGAAACAAATCAATACCAAGTTTGTGAGCGGATTGGCACTATTCTACAACTCCGTGCTCGTCACCCCCAAGGACATGGAGTACTTGGAAAGTGAACATTTGGCTCCTAGCGATGTCGGTAAGCTAGATAAGATAAGAGCACATAAAACACCCATGCTCCAAGATTTGCACCAGAAACTCAATTTCTCCAATGGATTGAATATAAACATAGTAAGCGTTGACAAGGTGCATGTGGAGACCACTACGACCTGGTTTGGCCTTTCTACAAAGTCTACACACCATTATGAATTTGTTATCCAAGTCACAGAGCAGGACTCTGGAGATCAACACTATGTTTCAAGGCCGTACCATGAATTCAAGCACTTGGAGAAAACCCTCCTCAAGAAATTCCCGGGAATCATGAACATTGAAACTAGTAAACTCCCAGAAAAATTCAAAAACGATGCCAATACGTTGATAAAGGAGAAATTAAGAATATCTCTAAGAGGATATTTGACCCTGCTACTTCAGTTTCCTGAAATAGTTAGCAGTGAGGAGTTTCAGTACTTCATTAATGAACACAATTTCCATACGTTGAACGATGAACAGAAGGCAGATTATGAAAAGAGACATAAACATGAAAAACATCTATTGATGACGCAACTCGAATTTCAGAAGGAAGTCAGCAAGCTCATGATAGATTTCAGTAAGCAGTTTGATGATTTTAAGATCCAGCTAATCAAAGAACCGGATACGTTGGTCAATATATTCAAAGAAATCGGTGCCAATAAGGAAATGACAAACCTATCTCCTCTTCTCAAGATATTTATTGATTGGTGTAAGATTGAAATCAGTGCCACTGTCTTCCAAATCTTCTTGACTCAAGACAATTCCAACGAATTGTTGCATAATGTCAAAAAGTTCCATCGATTATTCCCGTATGGGATAATGTACAATATTTTGCGGTTCACGAACCCAATGAGTATTATAAGCAGGGTCATAAGTCTTCTTTTGATCAATATTCCCGGTACAAACAACAAGAATTTGTTGTCATGCCTCTTTATCATGTTGCTAGATGAAGACTTGAATGGGTACGAAGTTGAAGTCAATAATGTCAAGCTCAAGTTGAAAGAGTATCCTAACTTCATTGCTGCAATTGAAGCAAACATTGATAACAAACTCAATGAAGCACACCTCGATATCGAGGAGGCCATTGAAGACATCATTGGTTCTATTGAGGAGGTTAACAAACAAGAGGCCATGGCAAAAACCAAACTACGTGATTCAGATGATCTTTTCAACAACTTGAAGCAGCTATATCAGATTAAAGTGAGACAAAATGACAAGCTCATCTTGAAGTCATTGTGGGAAGAACCTGAGCTCACCAGGCTTATCAAGAACTTTCTCATTATCTTCTACCATCCATTAATCGAACTTCTAAGCAAAAGTAAGATGCACATCTTCTTCAAGGACCTTCAAGGATTTAACGATGAGTTGATCAATTTACTTGTCCGGATCAACGAAGAAGAAATATACTACCTTAGCTCGGTTGAAGTCTTCAACAGGCTTATGAAGCTAATGGATGATCATATTGGGATCTTTTGGAAGTTCGTGCATAACATGTACAACAACGATGACAGCCATTTGTTCTTGAAGTTGATCCAGTGGATTGAAAATTTCCTTCTCAAACTCCGCTTGAAGTATGCTGATATCGATAAAGTCACTTTGGATCTCCATCTCAAGGATCAGGAACTAGATGAAGAACAATTCTTCAAGCAGCTACACGAAAGAATGGACAAGATCCTCCTCAAGAGGAAACTATTCAAAGAGCACTATCAACAAACGGTGGCCCAGAGAGAAAAGCACGGAAACTCGATTGAAAACAACTGGGACCAGCTACACGAAGCGTTCAACGAGTACGATACGAACTTTGGGCTCGACATCGACGAGCTTGAAGAGCTCAACTTTGACATATCTGAAAACACCGATATTGAGTTTCTGAAAAAAATTTCTCAGCTTCAAACCTTCGAGTATTCCACTAGCGAGCTCGACAAATTCGATCCTCATATGGTGAAGGAACTCAACAGAGTTTTGCAGGGCATATAAACGTATATAGAAGTATACAAAAGTACCTTAATAGTACCGCTTGAGGCTTTTTCTGGGGCAGTGTACTGTATGCATGCCGCACAAAACAAGGCTATTTAGTTTAAGTCGTGTGTGCCATCGGCGAAGCTAATCCTTTCGCCTTTTTTCCTTGCGCATCACAACCCTACCGTTGCCAAAGACTTTTCATATTAGATAGAAGATTTGACCTGTTCGTGTTCCTACATTGCATACACCAGCGTCATACTTCGGACTCACCAGTAATTGATACCCGTTCAAACAGTTTTTAAATCGAACTCACCCTTCGCTGACCTTGCTACAGCCGTACTTATATGAGATCATCCCCAGCATTCAATCATGTTTTCTAGGCTGATTGTCCGGATTTTAAGAATCGTCATAGTGGTGACTATACTATTGAACGTCGGCTTGTTATTGGCCACCAATTTCAGAGGAAACAGGGGAATCGCCGTATTGAAACAAGCATATGAACATTACGCGTCCGACCGCAATGGACAACCATGGATGAATATCAAGGCAGAAGACCTCCACCAATACGGATTCAACAACAAGCTTCGAAAGCGGTTCGAGCGAGTCCGGAACAACAAGGACGACCGATATTGGCTTGCTCATACCGAGCTTACCGAGATTGAAACATACGTTGCCATCAAGCCATTTTTGAAGAACTCTGAGTATCTGGTGGAAGATGAAAACTCCTGGGTCAATAAAAATGAGCTATTCTACGACCCCCGGTTCACTTTATCCATATACTTGAATGCCATTAAGCACAAATACACCCAGGCTTCTATAGCCCAAGGTGGTAGTCTTAAGGAAAAACCGGACTTGAACGAGCTCACCAGAATCGAATTGCCGTTCAACTGGGTGGACTGGTTGGACTTGACGCTGTTGAACGAAGAGTTGGCAAAGCCCATGGACCAACGAATTGACTGCCCCTATATAAGAGGAGGTACCAATAATGACCCCGATCCGGAGTATTTCTGTTGGGATAACATTCGTTATAGCGATGACATGGTGAGAGATTTAGGGTTCAGAAACAGAAACCAACTTCCTAGATTCATCATCCATGGTCACTCGACACACGATGACAGGCCTTTCAATGACTTCAGAGTCATGGAAGCCAAGTGCTATGCGTTGTCCCAACATCTACCAAAACCCGTCAAGGTGGTCATCTTGAATGGAGAAGGTGGAACTTATGAATTTGATGTGAAGCAAAACACCAACGAGAAAATGATCACTTCCGATTTGATTGACTATTTTATTGATACAAACATGTATGATCGGAAGGATTTGAAACCGGACTCGTTGGTCACAATCAATCATATCAAGGAATTCGACGACTTGAAGGCCAAGGTTATCCCCAGAACCTTGTCAGAGTCGGAGGACTTGGTGGGAATGTACAACATCTTGAGAAAGACCCTGAACCCCAGTGCAAGCCGTGAGCTCAAGTTGACGGAGGAAATGTTTCATTATAACAAGGATTCGATGAACAAGCAAATTGAGGAACTCGAAGCAAAAGGTGCCTCGCAGTTGACCATCAATGAGGAAATGTACTTGCAGAGCATCAAGTATTGTGCCGAATTCCCCAATTCTGATGACGAGGAAACCTATTTCAAAATGGCCACCATCAGAATCGACGACGACAGAAACAGAGATAAAGAATGGGGATGGCATTACGACTGGAGGTTTTTCAACGGCGCCTTGAATTACGATAGAATCGGATGGAATGAGCAGGAAATGAACTACAGGTCAAATATCATTTTGGACAGACTCTTAAGAAACTGGAATCGATTCGCTGAAGAAAAGGGGCTCATCAGCTGGATCATGCACGGTCCATTATTATCCTGGTTCTGGGATGGGTTAATGTTCCCGTTTGATTTGGATATCGACATCCAAATGCCTATGAGCGAGCTCGTCAGACTTGCCAGAGATTTCAACCAAACGTTAATTGTCGAAGACCCAGCCGAGGGGTACGGGAAATACTTTATCGATGTGGGAAGCTTCATCCACAACAGAGACATTAGTTCCAAGTCCAACCATATCGATGCCAGAGTCGTGGATGTGGATTCTGGTATCTACATCGATGTAACGGCTCTAGCCAAGTCAAAAGCAAATGCTCCTGAAGAGTACGACAGCAACGTCTTGGTAGATATTGCCAAGCCGCAAGATGACGATCAAGTGGAAATCTATAATGACAGAAGGAAGCATTTCTACAAGTTAGATCAGCTATCTCCATTAAGATATACCATGATGGGAGGAGTGCCAGTATTTATTCCTTCCACCATCACCAATCGGTTGGTGTTTGAGTATTCCGAGGGATTGACCAACTTGGAATTCCACGACTGGTACTTTGTGCATGGTCTTAACTTGTGGTTAAAGAATGATATAGTGGGTCTGATATTCGCAGACGAAGAGGTGAAAAATCCCGAAGGTGAGTACGACAGGGAAAAAATGTTAAGGAGAATAGCCAAAATGGACGACAGCGATATCTTCAACTTACTAGATACCTACGATGAGGTTCTCATGGAGTACTACTTGACCAAAGATTTGACCGACTATCACGACATGGAGAAACAATACTTATTTGATAGCTATGGCCGAGACAACAAGAAGTTGGACCTCGACCCACACATGAAAGACGAATACAATCAGTTTGTGTCAACCTTTAAGATGTCCAAGCCATTAAGAAAGTCCTTGTGGGATTACGAGAACATAGAACGTATCAAACACCATAACTCTTGATTACCCCTATTTATGCATTATAGATTTTCACGCAAATGCACGATAGCGGCTCGGGGCCGGCTCGTGCGCAAACAAGTAAAAAAAAGTACATCTTTTAAATTGACCATGTCTGAAATCACACAAGGACTTAGGAATAGGTTCCACAACTCCACCAAAGATTCCACAGAGGAGTTGTTGATAGAGAAATTAGACATTTTCTTGTCGTCAATAGAGTCCAGGTTAGACCAGTTTGAGAGGTACTTTAAGTTCAACAATATTGAGGATCTTGATGAATACTATGAAGAGGAAAAGACCAAAGAGGTAGAGTCCGGAGAAGAGACCGACGAATCCCACCAGGGACATGGCAGAAGAACAAGTGTTTCCAGCGTTCTGTCGTTCAAGAGCTTTGCAAACCTAGATATGATCCACCAGAGATTAAAACTTATCAAACAATCGGTACTCAAATCGTCGATTCTGAACTTGGAATACTTGTACAAAACTTTGGATGATCTGTACAGCTACATGTTCAATTCTAGCGAGCCGTTGATTTCGAGTGATATATCTTTTGACAACTCAAAAGAGATCTTGAGTCAAAAGATCATCGACACTTTACAATACTTTGATGAAAGGCTCACCCACATAGACGATATGATCCAAAGAAAAACCAACCAAGTGATCACAGACGAGTCGATTTTCAACATCTTCAAGTTCTACAACTTCAACAAGGCATTAAAGCTTGGTCAACATAACTACTTACACTACTACCAGATGCCCCTCGGTTGGAGAGAAAACAGGTACATCATCAACGGATACCGGTTTTCCTTGAGCCACTGGTCGATGTTCAAGTCCATTTTTCACTTCAACCACAACGAGTCCATGAATATCTGGACCCACATAGTGGGATTGGGGATTCTCTTTTATTTGGGGTTGGTGCACTTACCATCCACAGAAGTGTTCAGCAAAAACACATTTGAAGACAACTTGGCCATCTACTTTTTCTTGTTCTGTGCAGTGGCATGCTTGACTTGCTCCACTATTTGGCACACATACTCATGTTTTGCCAGAATATCGACCAGGTATAATTGTGCGTGTGTGGATTATACCGGAATAACCTTCTTGATCACATCATCTGTTGTGTCTGTTGAGTATGCAGCATTGTTCAACTATCCCAAATTGTTCAGGACGTTCATGACCATTTCGATTGTCAGTGGGGTTGGAGGTTTGGCATTCAACTGGTCTCCGTACTTTGATAAACCCGAGTGCAGGTCCATTCGAATTGGTTACTTTGTTGGTTTAGCAGCTTTGGGGGTTGGAACCGTCATGCTGTTGTGCTTTTACGAAGGGTTTGTCAAGTCGTTCCAGTTCATCATTCCTATTTTCTACAAGAGTTTTGTTTGGTACTGGATTGGTGTATGTTTCTATGGTGGACTCATTCCAGAAAGATGGAGATATGATGTGATCATAAATGAAGACGAGTGCTGTCAGCATGAGCATAGTGCTTCTGACATTTTGGCAGGAAACCCAGAAAAGAGTGGAGAAGAAGAGTATAAAGACATTGAAAACGATATTACTAACCAGATCTTAAATGAAAAACCCCCATCTGACCACGAGTCTGAAGCAATGGAACACGAGAAGTTCAAGTCCATTATTAACAAGCATTTCCCTGAACAACCAATTCAAACCAACTATAAGACCGATTTCTTTTCTTTATGGTGGGTGGACTACGCATTTTCCAGTCACAACATATGGCATATCCTAGTGGTTTTTGGCGTTCTTGGTCACTACTCGTGTCTCTTAGAAATGTTTTCCAATATCTCTCGTTAATTATATATGAATGCATGATTTTCATCTCACCATTGTTTGGTTGCAAAGGGGAAATTAGGAGGAAACGCACTCGGCGGGCATTAGCTTCGAAGGGTTTAAAAAATATTTATGGCCATTATTGTTGGCATACTAGGATTGGCCATTGTTGAAGCTATACGTGTTCTTGCCTAGGGGTGTAGAGACTATGTACAAGCTGCTTCAAATAAAAAATCTATTGTTAGTTGAAGGACGGTGACCAAAAAAATTCTCCCGGGGGTGAGTCGAACACCCGATCTCAAGATTACTTTGAGGTACTCATTACAGTCTCGCGCCTTAGCCAGCTTGGCCACCGAGAGGAATTTGCGAAGAATAGTTTTTCTCTAAAATTTATCCTTGCATGGATCTCAATAACTAATCCTGTTATTCTTCCAAGATTTAGGACATTCCCTAAAAAGTTTTTGAAATTTGCTGTTGTCACATACACTATTTGAACGGCAACTTTCACCAAGACATTCTGTAGTAGACGCGGCGTTTTGAATTTTAGTAACGAACCAAAGTTGACGAAATTCCGTACCGTTTAGTCGGTTATAATTGACATACGTAGGAACTCTTGAGACGATGAACATGAAACACAAGTACTGTACGACTTATGAGCCCCAAAAACCATGATTTATGAGTAAGGAGTTTTATTGCTCGCTCATAATCAGATTTTGTTGCTATTCATCTGTTTGCGGCTGAAGATCTCCCGGAGGTCAATGATCGGCGGGAACAGAAATAAATGTCCACTCGAATTTAACCTTCCCACGTAAAGCAAGCACTGACAAGTATCCACGAAAAAGAATCAAAAGGTGAACACAGAGTCTTATATTAAACTACAGATTTGTAAAGAATTTCAAGTAGGCTGCGAAATTACATGCAAATATATTCTGTGCCAGGTGCAAGTATAAACAGAGCTAGTGGTTGTGAAGGGTCTCAGATTGCTCCTCTTTTCTTGACATGGCAAGATTGCTATATGGTGAAGAAACGATTGAGGGAATTTGTAAATCGAAAAGATCAAGATTGAAAGCTGGAAATTCATTGAAAGAAGATGAAGCTTTTTGTAAGACACTTTTCACCTTCAAATAAATACTCCTGGAGATGGTAATGTCCGACTTGTATTGCAAAACCAAGTCAAACATGGTCTGAAGAACCGGCAAGGCTCCCAAATCACCAGTGATTGTAATAGAATCAGCAACTCTGCAAGTTATTTCCAATAGCTTCACGCATAGGCCTGGGCCATTGGACTCAAATGCAAAGCTCAGTAGACTAGAAGTCTCATCCAAAAAGTCCCGTGCTATGGAGACAGGGTGTTTGTAGGACAAGTAATGTTCTGGTTGTACATCAGTGGTGAAATTGTTTTCGTGACTCAAGTTCCATACAAGAGCCCTCATCCAATGCTTTGACAAGGTGACATTCATCATTTGAGTTTCCCCACAGGCATGTACTATTTGTATATCCTTCAACTTACTGTTGATAGTTTTGATCCAGCTTCTCCTGGGAAACCAGTTCAGGTGGCTCGCACTTAGATAATTCGTTTGCTTCGTGGTATAACTGATCAAGTTGTCAAAAAAGCTCCGATCTACCAACGCAAAGCACTTGACAAGCTCCTGAAATCCAGCCAACAACGAAGGATTCTCATCCAAGTCTGATGTTGGTAAAGGCAACGAAGACTCTAGACATACCGGGAGATTCTGTTCTATGCACATATACCTCTCACTGATCAAGAGCATATAATGAATCTTGGATAACAGGTGCATTTCCAAAGTGGAATGACCCTGCTTCATCCGCCAGTGACGCATCCGGAAAATTTGGGCTATATCAATGGCCTCTTTCATACACAAAAGTCCACTATCCATGTACCCTTCCACATTGACATAGTAAATGTACTGGAAGAAAGATATCAAAATATTATCAACCGAAGGGAGAGCCCGATAATTGATTAAATTTCGGGCTCGAACGCTTTCTTGGATGAGTCTGTCGATGTCAATATGCTCCAAGTCAAAGTTGATAGGGTTGTCTGACTTGAGAAATGTTAGCTGATTGGCAATTGCAGCAGCCACTGCACAACTGAGCGAATAGCACAAAACGTTATCTATGGATGCTGGTGTAGTGGAGGTAGGATTAAGGCTTTGGCACCGAGTGGACAAGCTACGAGCTGGCAAAATGGGCCAGTTTCCATAATACCATTTCCAGTAGATATCGATAAAAGGTAGTAAAATTTCTTTGGAGATAATCTCCTCCGCTGAACCCAAAGTGTACACCCCAAACCCCGTACCCCAATTTCCTGTATTTGAAAAAACCTCTAGCGCAGTTGCCAGCTCATATTGTTGGTTTTCTGGAGAATCGATCGGGTGTGGATCACCAGTTGGCCTCTTTTTACGCTTGAAAGTACAAGATTTTTTGAGCCTCAGGCATCGTGAGCAGGGAAGATTGGAGTCGCACTTAATCTTGCTGTTTGCACATGCATCACAAGGAGTGGTATATTTCTGTCTGCGACGGCCATTGGCCTTGTTGGTGTAATTGCCAAGATTAAGGCATTTCCACTGCGATTTCATTGGGGTAGATTCTCAACCGGAGTTGTGGGTTTTTATATCGGTTTCCTGAAGGGGAGTTCCGTTGCGCAGATTACCCCATGTTTTATTTTTGAGTGGGGTGCATGATTGGCCCAAAAAGGTTCTGAGGGGCCACTAACGGGTAGGTGGGGGTGCGTACCCCAAACTTACATCAGACGTGGTTGGGAGGTACGGGCTACAACTTATATAAATAGACAGGGGAAAACCGATCGATTGTAATTAATCAAAAACACAATGAGCCACCAAGAAAAGCCAGAAGCTCTGCACCATGAGATGGTTTCAGACAACGAACTGGAGAAAGAATTAGGGGTGGAGGCCGAGAACCTCATTTTGAACGCAAGAAATGCTACTAAAGACGAGCATGAACTTACTGCCAGCAGGGCCCTTAGGGACTATTTTCCTGCCGTTTGCTGGTCGTTGATCATGTCTTCAACAATGTATGTACCTATGTTAATAACTTTATTTTAATCTCTTACTAATGTGTTTTAGTATTATGGAGGGTTACGATACCTCTTTAATGGGAAATTTCTTTGCATTCACTAGTTTCCAAAAAAAGTACGGAGTGGAGATTGCTCCCGGCTCGTACCTGCTCACTGGACAATGGCAAAGTGCCTTGGGGTGTGCAAGTAGTATCGGAATTATCATAGCTTTGGCTGTCAATGGGATTTTGGTAGAACGCTTTGGCCATAGGAAAATCGTTTTGGTCAACTTGGTTGTCATGGCTGGGTTCTTGTTTATCACGGTGTTTGCTAAAAACGTGGAAATGCTTCTTGTGGGTCAGATTCTCTGTGGATTTCCCTGGGGTTTTTTCTCAGTAGTAGGACTTATTTACGCTTCAGAAGTATCTCCCTTACCGCTTCGGGGGTTTTTATCGGCCTATGTGATGATGTGTTGGGCCACCGGCCAGTTGGTGGCCTGTGGAGTGTTACGGGCCATGTTGAGCAACACCAGCCACTGGTCTTATAGAATACCTTTTGCCGTACAATGGGCATGGATCCCTCCACTTTTCATTGCTACTTGGTTTTGTCCCGACTCTCCATACTGGTTGGTTCGTCGTGGAGAGCTCGAAAAGGCAGAGGAGATGGTAAAGAGATTGAGTCACAAGTCTATCCATCATCTTGCTAAGCAAAGGGTCAATTTGATGATCTACACCAACGAGTTGGAAAAAGACCAACAAGACCGGTTGGACGACCGGTATAAGGGCTGGAAAGCATATAGGGAATGTTTCCGGGGCACCAACTTGAGAAGAACTGAAATCGCTTGTATGGCGATGGCTGGCCAGGTATTTGCTGGGAATAACTTTGCGTACCTCCCATCGTATTTTTTCTCACAGGTGGGATTAGATAGTGTTATGACGTACAACATGAACCTTGCCATTACGGCAGTGGCATGGGTAGGTACGTTCATGTCGTGGTTTTTGGCCAACAAGGTGGGCCGGAGAAAGATCTTTCTTGCTGGATTGACGTTCATGACAGCTTTCTTATTGGTGATTGGCATCCTCCAGACCCCAGCCAGCAATACAGGTGATTTAAAGTATTCCTGGGGCCAAGTTGGTTGTACTTTCGGATGGTGTGTTGCGTTTGTGCTTTCTTTGGCACCTCTAGGATATACCGTTATGTCGGAGGTTTCAAGTACGAGGTTGAGAGCTGTTAGTATTGCAATTGGAAGAAATGCCTACAATTTGGTGCAATTGGTGGCTCAAGTGGTTGAGCCCAAGTTCATTAATCCCACGGAGTTGGACATGAAGGGAAGAACAAGCTACATTTGGTTTTGCACCAGTTTCTTGCTTTTAATCTGGACTTACTTTAGGCTTCCAGAAACGAAGGATAGGACCTACGAGGAGTTGGATATTCTTTTTGAAAAGGGAATATCTGCCAGAAAGTTTTCATCGTACCAGATGGACCTTGATGCAGAGGAAATTGACAGGGTGTCTGTCAAGGCAGCTGCTTACGAGTAATGTCTATTGTTTAGTGAATAGGAAAATGTATGACTGCGACAACGATATTATAAAATGTTGGTCCATTGAACCCAACCCAATTATTTTTGCCAGCTTAAGCAATCGAGTTTGGATCTACAATTCGTTGAACTCTGTTTGTACTGCACTAGCATTGGCTGTGCAGACTATCGGAGATATTCTCGCAACGCATGGATCTCCACCCCCACCAACCCGATTAAGGTTACCGATAGTGCGGAATCCCTTTAAGGATACCGATCCCCTCGATGGTGCGGCACGTAGTGGGGCAATAAATAGTCAATTGATCCCCATAAATTGGCTCTTACATTCACCAATATCTTCACCGCGTTAGTTTAACAATGTTCAGTGGCGTCAAAAATATTCTAGGATTGGGCTCTACTGCCCCAAATATTGTCTACGGAAAAACCGATAAGGATCTCGGAGTTGAAAGATTTGTGGAGGACGATTTCTGGAAACTCAGAATCAGAACTGTCGCTGCTAATACCTTGCCTTCAATGCATAATGTGTTGATGAAAACCGGACGGTGGGAATTCTTCGACTTCAATTGGAAACACTTGAAGGACATCGAACCTCACATATTCTGGGACTCCGATATAGCAAAATTCTTAGAAGCCGTGTGCTATGCTTTAAAATATACCGAAAAAGACGAACAAATCTACCAGACTTATGTCGACTGGATTGACCAGATTGTCAGAATGGCCAAGAAGGCCCAACAACCAGATGGGTACCTTAACTCTTATTTCACCCAAATGGATCCTAAAGCTAGATTCACCAATATCATGGAGAAACACGAGTTGTACTGCTGTGGTCACTTGATTGAAGCAGCTGTAGCACATCATGAAGCTACCGGGTCAATGGAGTTGGTCGACATTATGTGCAAATATGTGGATTTGCTTTATTTGACATTTGGCCCTGGGGAAGGTCAGTTACACGGATATCCTGGGCACGAAGAGATCGAGTTGGCGTTGGTCAAGCTATTGAGAATTGTGCCCAAGAAGGAGTACTTCGACCTCTTGAACTACTTTGTTGAAGAAAGGGGCCAGAACAACACCGAGTTCTATAACGATGAGCTTCGCAGAAGAAACATCGACCCAGATGTCTACAATCCTCTTGCAGACTACGACCACATGGACAGCGACTATACACACATGCTTCCCGCTCCTAAATCCTATTGGTACTCGCAGTCAGAAAAGCCCATACGGGAACTAGAAGAAGTTAGAGGCCATTCGGTCAGGTTGGTGTATTATTTGACTGGGGTCCAGGGGCTTGCGATGTTGAAGAAGGATGATAGTTTGAAAAAGGCGGTTCGGAGACTATTCGACAACATGATAGACAAAAAGTTCTATATTCACGGAGGAATCGGTGCCATTGACAGATGGGAGGGATTTGGAGAAGACTATGACTTGAGATGGGATGGTTACTCCGAAACCTGTGCGTCTATTGGGTTGGTGTTTTTATGTGAGAGAATGCTTTCGGACAAGTTAGACAAAAAGGTTGCCTTGGCCATGGAAAGAGCCTTGTACAACGATGTGTTAGGAGGTGTCAGCGTTACAGGGAAGTCATACTACTACAACCAACCTGTATGTGGTTGCGGGTTAACTAGACAAAGCTGGTTTGTATGCGCATGTTGTCCTCCGAATGTTGCAAGACTTTTCAGCAGTTTGGAAAAATACGCTGTTCTGGTATCCGATGATCTGATCGCTGCCCATTTATACATTGGGGTGTCATTGAAGTCCGATGATTTGGACTTCAAGTTAGTTTCCAAGTATCCAAATGAAGGTAAAATTGAACTAAAGATTGACTCGAAAAAGCCCATCACAATTTCCATCAGAGAGCCTAACACTGCGTTCCGGACCTCCAACTCGAAGTACAAGCTCTCTAACGGGTATCTCACATTTGGACCCCGGATATGGACGTCTGAGACTATCACCATTGAATTCGATATTCCAGTAGAGATAGTTAAGCCAGACCCCAATGTGACTGCGAATTCGGGACACTTGGCTGTTCAAAGAGGCCCTTATGCCTACGCCTTGCAAAAATCTGGGGTAAGTGGAGACGTGAGCTTGGATGATATCAAGATATCCGTCAATCAGAAATTCGAAGTTAGTGCTGAAGAGTACGAGAATGCAAAGTATGTGAGCTTGACCACAACGGCCGATGGCAGAACCTTGAACTTTGTGCCTTATTTTATCACCGGAAACGAACATCCAGGAGAAGACTTCAGGCTTTGGATTAAGGACGGTAGTAAGTAGCCTGATTTAAATATATGCCACACTCTAGTGATTTTAAACTGCACTCACAACAATGAAGAAGGATTATCAATGATAACCAAAAGGTTGAATGAGATCGGCGTCATTGAATGTAGAGATACAACATTGTTCAAGAAGGTATTAGAAAATACGCCGATCAGGTGCAACCAGCATCGATCCTCAGCCACCCTGGTTTTGTGCCGCGGATTCAGATCAACGCATCTCCGACAAATCGATTGTTCGGCAGATCGATCGCAGTGCAGAGTTCCCTAATGCGGCGTAATTGGAAAGGCGCACCCGATCGGCTGTAGCTTGCGTTTATGGCTACGCATAGCTCTTAAATCAGCTCTACTAAGCCGCATATTCCCCATAACCAACAATGTGTTCTGTAGTCAACGCTTGAAGGGACGATTTTCTCTTCCCGGTTTGTTGCTGGTTTTCCACCGGATTTTCTGGTTCCTGAGCCATGGGGTGTATGCGGTAAAACCTAAACCTTTTGAAGCCCATGACAGTTTTGCAGGTTTATAGTACCAGAAGGATTTGGGGATATCATCGTATACATCTAGCTCAGACCCGAAGTTGAGTGCACGAGGGAAATATAAGGGGTTGATACCGCTCGGTGTATCATAACAAAATGAATGGGAATAACAGGACATGTAGGAATTTGAACGATTTGGCTGATTTAACCCCACTAGGAAAATTAAGGGCATAATTTGTCTAAAATGCCCGAATTTAAACAATGGGTTTCGTACGAACCCGAAAAACGTCGTCAACATATATGCAGATATTATTAAAGAGGAACAATTAATCCCACCTCCAATAAACCTCTCAAACGTGGATGTCGTGATCTTCAAAATTAGAATTTTGCTTTGGATCTCCCGAAAAAGCTCACTGCGTGCAAGAATGAAAAGTATGGGAACTCGAAGAAAGAGTTGGCATGCAGTCTGAATTAAGTTTAGTATAAAACCTGAACTTGTATTGAACAGTCGGAATAGATTTCAAACTTTTCGTAGCAAGTGAACGCTATCGAACATTTCCAGTTCATGGAAGGTTTTGTAACGTATAGTTTTTTATCCTCATATATTAAAAGCTAAATATTCACCTCGATTAATGTTCAAACAAGAAATCCAATCTTTTGTTACCATCATTTCTGTGGGTTTGTAGATAAGTTTCTTTTTCAGAATCAGACATCAGATCCCACTTGCCCTTCTTATACTTGTTTCTGTAAATATAGTAAACTTTGGTCAAAGCAAAAAGCACTATGTTCATTACAGTGACCCCAACTAATGCCTTATTACCTCTATGGTAATATGGGGAATCATCAGACCGGTAAACGTTGTTACTTATAAGCTGTGCAAGTTGGATACCAATGTTCGACATAGGTGACGAAATTGTTCTTGCTCTAACCGAGTAAGATATTCTTGAAATCCACGAAGTAAGAATAGGTTGAATATTGGGCATAGAAATCAAAAAGAACATTACCGCATATTGTCCCCAATTGCTAATCTTTTCAGCACTGGTAAACTCAACTACCACACAAATAAGCACCCAAAATTGTGGAAATATACTGATAAGTGCTCTTTCATTGAAAAACTCACTAATCAAAGTGATAGCAACAATTGTGAAGGCTTCAAACACATAAATTGGAAGGTTGAGATAAAGAATTTGGTCGGTACCAAAGCCCAACGCTTTCAAGTTAATATTCAAGTAGGCAGACATAGGATAATACGCAATTTGATACGTAAGCGAAAGAACAAGCAAAGGCCATAAATCATAATCAAGTAAAGTCTTCAAAAATTGCTTAAATGTAATACCTTCTCTATTGTGCATATCACACTTGGTAGGGTCATCTCTGATCAATCTATTAGTTATAATTTTCTCTTCCTTTTCGTTGAAGAAACCTTTTGGAAACAACTTCGACTTGGTCTGTGTTGGACCTGGAACCATCAAGAAAAGAGCGGCAATTCCAAAGACAAGAGTGATAATCCCATCAAACATGAATAACCATCTCCAACTTGCCTTACCTTGTACAGTGACCTTCAAAAAGCCAACTGCCAACAAATTACTTATAATTCCACTAAGGGAGATGAGTGACCAGAAGGCAGCCAACCGAGGACCAGTTTGTTGTCTGGTGTAAAAGTAGGAAACATACGAAACACTGTCAGCAATGAAACCCCCTTGACTAACTCCAAGAAGGAACCGCAAGGCCCAAAAAGCCTTCTTATCATTAACCCAGTACTGAGCAAGGGCAATAATCGACCAGATTATCACTTGCAAAGGCATCCACCAATCGGGACCAAATTTCTTAGCAAGCATTTGAGAAGGAATTTCAGTAATAATAAATCCAATGGATCTTAAATTATTTCCCAAATTATAATCATCAGTAGTCATCTTCAAATCCACAAGAATACCTCCAGCAACAGCTGAACTCAAGTTTCCTCTGTCCAAGTTCAAACAAAAGAAAAGAGCACACACAATTGGAAGAATCTTATAGTCAATCTTTCTAGTGACCGCCTTATCCTCAGCATAAGTCCATCTAAAATAAGGGTCAAATGCCTTAAAGTTTTCCCATTTAGATGTGGGAAAGTACGTTTTAACAATGTTTGGGTCAGGACCTTCAAACACCGATTTTCTGGTTGCAATTTGGTCGTAGTAATTTTTAGGCTTCTTGTAAACCTTCAATTTAAAATTTTCTAAAAGAGTAGGCGAATCATCAATGGTTAATTCGGGTGCAAGCAAGTCCACATCATCAGGATGATATTCCCCTGAAAAAGTACCATGGTCAGAATCTGACTTTATCAGCTCAACATTAAGAGATGTTGTCTCTTTTCCTAACTCATTGTCCAAAGTCTTCTCTGGTAAAGAGATATTCTCTGGTTGACTTTCATCTAAAGATGTCTTTTCTAGTTGACTCATTTTACAAAGATATTCTCCATCGAAGGGTAACGGCTGCAATTTATAAACGAATTTAGGTCAAGGAACATCTTTAAATTTCGTAAGACTCTTTGTGGCTTCATTAGTTGCAGTCGCACAAATTGCATCTTATCTTCGTTATCTTGCAAATTTTAATCACACGCCCCGAACAAACCTACTGCCATCGGTAGATCAATTCCAAGCATATAGTTGGTGGGGGTACACTTTCAGGGTTTCTAGCAATTGGAAGTTCGTTTGACGCCAGTGGATGCTTGCATGTTGATGAGGGTCTTACCCAAAACCTGCTAGTAAAGGATGGGTTTTAAATTCTAACAATGGTTATAGATTCCCATTTGTTGCCACCAGCGTTTCCCGGTGTATCCGCGGGAAGTATTGGAGCACTAGCAGTTTTTTTGCGTGTACGTTAGTTTTGCAAGCATATCCTATTAAAAACACCCCCATCATGGTATATTTCGGAGCCTCCGACGGAGCCTCCTGAGGTGGGCGAGCGCCAGGTGAAACACGGCCGGATGCTCCGACGGAAGCAATGTAACTTAATGACCGATGCTTCCTTTTATTCTCTCATTAATGCTTAAAACTGCCTATTTCATCCTCAGCAAGCCCTTTTTCCGGGAACCCTCCGGTCAATGGTCGGAGTCTCCGACGGAAGGAAGATTACTTATTTCCCTTTTCAACTATGGCTGCATTTAACGGTTTTCCATTTCATCTATTTTGCATCCATTTTATGCAGGCTGGCTTAGCAGAAGGCGGAAAACAGGCTCGTATCCTTGCAAACTGGTTACTGGTATTAGCTAACTTTGCATCATATCCACAGTTTATGGTCCAAGAACTCTTGTCCAGTGGTGAGGGACTCAAAGTCTCGTACGAACGGAAGAGGACTAAAGTAGCATTCAAAGAAAGCACTGACCTGATTACTATCATTACATCTCTCAAGTATCTTGTGTTAATATATTCACTTAACGTATAAACTAATATTCAGTTTAAAACTAACCTGGCGAAAACACCTAAAACCCTCCAAAAGCTTCTCTCCAGTTGAAATAGCTTTGGTGTGACTCCTGTTGGATTTCAATTCTCTGATGCAGATACTCTCTAACAGCAGTAACAGACAAAACCTCAGCAGAGCTGGCCAAAAGTTCTCCCGAAGCCCCATAAGCTTCAGCAATGACCTTGCTGGAGATAGTTTTGGGAATTGTAAACACAGTTTCAAAGGTTCTTCTGTGGGCTTCTCCAATATAGGTTCTTGTATCGGCATCCACAGTGAAGAATTTCCACACTCTAGTTTGTGTGTCTCCGTTCCAGCTTACATACAAGCTGGTGGACTTATCTTCATTGGATTCACTATACAAGGCAATCTGTTCATTGGGGATTCCTGTCCAATTAAACTTGAAAGCCCGATAGTTTTGAACTTTGAGTCCCAATTCACCTGAATCCAAGTAAGCATGGAAGATGGGGTTGGCATCAGCATCAAACTCAGTAACAGCTCCTTGTGAACCCCAGTTCACCACAACGTGACCATCAGGTAAAACTTGACTCGATCCCTGAGACTTAGAAAGAAGATTATCTGGAGGAATTCCATTGAATAAAAGCTTGGCAGTCCAGGTGGTGGTATCGATTTCAATGATCTTACTACTCGAATGAGAGTTGTATTGAACCTGCCTTCCTTTATTATCTTCACTTCCGTGGGCAGAATTGTCATACAACGAAATCACCTGCTTGGTGGAGTCTGGCGATGTGTACAAAGCCCGAGCATGGTGCTGGAACGAGAAGTTGAAGCCTTGTAACTCAAAGTCTGAAGTGGTCACTCCGGGAACACCTCCAAGTTTCCAAACAACTTCTCCCGTTTTTCCGTCAATCTTGTAGATAGAGGCACAATGTCTCCCTGAGAGAAGGTAGTCACCATTTTGGTCCTTGTCGACCGAGTTGATGTGGTAGTAATCCCAAGCATCACTGGAGTTGAAACCACTTCCTACCTGACCTAAGTTGATAGGAAGAACCGATTCATCCGGAGACACATGGTCCAAAGAAGACCATTCAAATACTACCTCACCAGTTTCAATATCCACCTCCTGGAAAATGGCATCAACAATCCACTGTTGTTCTTTAGAATCAGCCCACTTGCTCAAGTCAGCAGGACGCGGCTGGTATATCTGAGCCAAACCTGTCTTCTCATCGATAATTTGGAATTCATGTTTGTCAAAAATCTTGTGGTTCCCAGCGCGCAATTCCCTAATGGTCTCATAGTTCTGGTCCAAGAAAGTAATATGACCATGGCCATGACCATAATCCGGGTTGTGGGAGCCTTCAAATGAGAATAAAACGTCTTTCCCGTGGAGTTTCGCAGCCTGAAAGTTTGCAGCCCAAATGGAAAAGTAAGTGTATCCCGACCAAACAAGGTCTCCAGTATCAGTGAAGATATATGGAGCTGCCTGTCTAGGACCATGGGAATTACCAATGGCATCAAAACCAGTGAAAGGAGCAACAAATAAGTAGCCTTCTGAGGTTCCATTTGCAGGAATTGTAATATTCAAACGAGGAGGGGCCAAATCAGGTCTGGACCTGAATTGCCAGTCACCATTCACACACCCCAAGCACAACAATAACAAGACTGAATTAAAATAAGAAATCATCTTAGCCTCTATCATCATATGGAAAACTAGTATATTTATATTATTGACCAAAAATGGATTTGGCCCATACAGGACACCGGCCGGTTTGTGGTGTGTACCAGCAAAATTGGTACAAACCTGCAGATAAATACCGGGCCTATCGCAGAACGCAGAGACCTTATCACGCCAAATCCCGCATTGATGGCAAAATTCGGAGCCTGATGAAGAATGGCTTGGATACAGGACCACATGTATACCTTTTTTTTTTCGTTAGGTTGAAATTGATGGATATAACTAAAAATCCTCTAACAATTGTAGGACCGACCTTTTCGGCTCATAATTGCACAGAAAAGTGCAATTACACAACAAGCAGTGGAAACAGCCTGTGTTATTCGAAGTGCAAATGTGTAGTCTTGGACTAGCACCTCCTTTACATCACTATCCACCGACCCAAGAATGTCAACCGACTCCAAAATTGCCGCAAGAATCCTGTCTATTTCCTCCTTACTAAGCCTGTGTAACATGGCAAGATGGGCCGGCAAGTTTTGCTTTAGTACTGTCTTGATAACAATGGAAATGTAAGTAACTCCCCATACCCCACCAATATTTCTCATCAAGTAGACCGTAGAGGTAGACGAAGCTTGTTTCGTAGCATCAAAGTAGTAAACAAACAAAAAGAGGGAACTTGGGAAGGCCAATCCCTGGCCAAAGTTAGCAGGAAACAAGAAAAGGTTGATTGCAGCTTTGGGCAACTTTTCAGAAATCAAGAGAGAAAGTCCATTTCCCACCGCCATTAACGTTGTCCCTAAGATAGTGATCCGGGAATAGTTACGGGACTTTGTGATAAGATACCCGGCGGCAAATCCCCCTAAAGGAGTGGCAACTGCCGGGATGGATAATCGAAAACCCACCTGGGCGACCGAGTCTCCAAGATTGATTTGGAAAAGCAACGGTAAGGTGAAGAGGTACGAGTAGGAAGCAAGACCGACACAGAAGTTGAAGATGATGTTGATAACCACAAACCCGCTCTTGTAGTCGTTGACAGGGATAATGGGAATGGCTTCAGTATGGGATTCTTGCTCGAAAAATATCACTGTAGATGCCACTGTAACTATTACCAACACCCAGATACGCCAGTCTGTCCACTGTAGTTCGTTTCCTCCAAAGCATAGCACCAAGAGCAGGCAAGTTAAACCGACCACCAAACAGGCTGACCCCTTAAAGTCGATTTTCTTATAGATGGGACCTTCAGCATGCGGGAAGGTAATTTGGTTAGGAATGGATCTGATAGCCACAAAAAGACTCAACGCCGTGGGAAGGATTTGGAGTCCAAAACACCATCTCCATCCCAAGCAATTGGTTAAAAATCCACCAAAGGTGGCTCCACAAACGGCTCCGGTACCCAAAAGTAAGTTTTGCACTGCTTGGAACAATCCTCGTTTCGAAGGATAAATTATATCGGAGTTGGTGATGGTGGAAAGAGATATAAGTCCTCCTCCTCCAATACCAGTGAATGCTCTCAGAGCAATGAGAAAACCCATACTCTTCGATATGCTGCAGCCATAACAACCGATACCAAATGTCAAAAGCGCAAACACAATGCACATTCTTCTGCCAACACTGTCAGAAATAGAACCGTAGAGTGGTTGGAAGGCAGTAGAAGTGATCAAATAGGACGAAGTGATCCAGGAGGCCAGTGAGAAGGCCTTAAACTCACTCCCAATAGTTGCATATGTGGAGGCAGTAATTGTTCCATCAAACCCTGCTAAAAACACATTTAGAAGTAGTGATAATTCAATCCAAAAGAAGTTAGGGACATCGGAAAAATAATTTTGTTCAGGTTTCACTTCATCGGCGAGTGAAATGCTCAGGCCTTCTTCGACTGAAGCATCACGAAGAAGAGGCTGCGATTCAGACATCTTCGTTGTAATTTTTTTTTTGAGGAATTAAAATTTTACGATGAGCATAATGCTTATCGACTTACAGCGCTTTATATAAAAAATTGCTTGCCCCCACCGCGATTGTTGGGCGGGACATTGGTGCGATAACTAAAAGTATGTTCCTATGAGGTAACCAATTATGCACCTTTGTGATTAAAATACTCTACTTATGACCACGCAGACACACAGAGATATTGATCAGTGACTAGAATGAATATTATGGTTGCCACATATCAATCTGAATTCATGTGATAAATTTTGCAAAATTCAGGGATTTCTGATTAAAGTTTTGAAAATAAGAGTGTAAATTCCAAGATCGCAAACCAATATTTCCCCTTCCCTTTTTTTTCTCAGTATCTCCAATGAATAAAGTCTATAAAATCGTATTTTTTGATTGAAACCTGACAAGTCATGTTCATGACTTGGTCAATAGTTCACTTGCAACGAGGAAAATATCAAGAGACTGATTTCAAGCTAGTCAAGCCGCTTAAGAACTCGAGCAAATGTTTCACAGCCTAACCTGGATGCACGCGAGGAGGTGTTATTCCTAGAGAGTCTAGAAATACATAGTACCTTTTCTTGTAAGAGAGTATTCACAAATTCTCTCTAGTGTAATTTGGACACTACGATTACTTAATCAGGTTTTGAAATCTTGAATGTAGTTCCCATGCGGGCCGCCAGATTTATGTTACCTAATTTGAATAAACCCCTGAGAGTTTAGGATTTTAACGACATTTGTTTTAAAGAGGTGCGACATTGATTAGGAAAAACAGGATTATCAGCGGATCAGTAACCATGCATATGTCTTGCGGGAATGAGTTAATTTGCACATTAGCCTAAACAATGCCTTTAACTGAAATAGGGGAAATACACGTTAAAATGTCCATTTTTCTTGTTTCAGCGTAGTTACGTATGCAATGTATCTTCTGACCCATGCAACCACCCTAAGCATACCCATATATTTGTATGCATAGGTAATGCAACATTCCAAGGGTCAATGATCAAATATTTTTATTCTTTTTTTCTAAATATTTCCTATTCCTCTTAAATCTGCCTCTTTGTTAAATGACTTTGATATAAAACCTTCGGAAATCCTGCAATTTTTATGACCGAACCAACTTTCCACTCCCTGATAATGTCATTCTACGATTCCAATCTCAAATCCAAAGAACAGAGTTCTGGGGGGTTTCATGACCAGAGATCATTCAATTTTAGCCAACGTGCGATGATGAGATCAAAAACAATTCCGATTCCATCTCCTTTGAATTTGCGATCTCTGCCAAACGATTTTCTAGATGGTGAACAAATACGGTTGAAACCAATTGACTTGGACTACAAGGACTCAAAGCAACTTCCTTGTTTACCAATTGGTCCAGATTCCAGCTATAATCTCCAAAGGCCATCTCACTACCAAAGGACCCATGTCCAACCCACCCCCAGCACCACTTATGATTCAGGTATCCTGCAAGCGAATTCCCCTTCACTATTGCATTTGAATGCCCAGAACCAGTCGCACCTGCAACCACATCTGCCCAAAGTTATTTCTCCCATTTGCACCATATGCAACTTTTTTATCGATGAGGACTTGTTGGAATTGAGCTGTAACCACATTTGTCACAGAGACTGCTTTATAAATAACATTTTGACCTGCAAAAAATGTCCAGACAATCACTCTTCTTTGGCTCCCAGCTTCTCGGACCTCAATCCTCAACCATTGTCCAATTCTATCAGTCATACCTCTCATGAATACACCTCGCCAACATTTTGTCCAGTGGAAGTCCCGATGACCCCATCTGACCAGATGATCCCAGATCCATTATACCCTCCAACACATACACTCAAGCAAGAAGTGCAACAAAGGGATCCCCAGGACTCACAAGAAGATGTAAATGGGCGTTTGGGATATCCGAAACCTTCACAGAGTTATTTGCAACAAGATCGGTTGCTGCAACAACAGCTGCAATTATTATCACCTAGATCATCTTTTAATAAGAATTTAAACAAGGACTTGTTTGACAGCTTGATGAAGCCCAAAGTTAAATTCATAAGTGAGCACGAAGACTGCAAAGTCAAGGTCGATTCCCAAGTCAATGACGATTATTGTTTGAATTACTTGATCAGTGTCAAACCTCCAACATTCTACAACTGCATCAATGAGGACAAGAACTTGGTGTTGAAAAACCAGATTCTCGAAGAGATCAAGTTTGGAATCTTGAACAATATCATCAACTCCAACGACGAAAACGTTATTGACTTCAACAGCTTGGGCAAGTTGGTTATATTTGAAATCATAGGTATAAGCACTAACGGAACCAACTGGGATCAGGTGAGATTATTGTTATTTGAGAGTTGTTTGATCTTGGTTGATCTTAAAGGTGAAGTTCTAATTGGGAAGATTCTGATAGACCAAGACATTTTGAACATGACAAGATTTGTCAGTGGTATTCGATTGGACTTAAATAATGACACGATTCCGGAATTGCAAATCTGCTGTGAGATTCCCTTGATTATCAGTAGATTGGAGTACTTCTTCAAAAAGTTGTTGGAGAAACAGTTCGTCAGCGAAACCTCATTGTTTCAATTGACGACCAACGGCTGGGGGTTAATCAAAGAGAACTACTCCAATCTTCCTGTTGATATTATTCGTTTCCAGAATTGTATTGAAAACAGCTTGGATATTCCAGAGTCTTTGTTGGCAAAATCCATGCCTTCACCAGAACTCATTCCTTTAAACTTGATACTATCTATCACGTTGTTGCAATCTTCAAGCATCTCAAACAATGAGTACAGAACCAAAATAATTCTGTTTTTGGATAGGGTGAGAAAAGACTTGAGACCAATCGATAGATTGAGTTTGATCTTTGTAGGAATTGATGGATCTGGTTTCCCATGCAAAAAAGGCTCATTCATTGGAAGTGTTGAACCAAATTGGTCTGGATGGGACTCGATCTACAATGAAGTCAAAGTTCAATCTAATTTGAACAGCCAACATAAGCCAATATTAACTAGTCACTGGGATGAGATGCAGCTCACATTGGAAAAGTGCAAAGATTTATTCCCATTCTTGAATTGTAACTCCAATAACACCACGAAGTTGGTTGTTATCAGCTGTAATGATTACGAACCAACCTTAGTTAACAACGAAAAGTTGAACACCGTCAAGACTCACTTTAAGACTTTGTTGAACGACAGTGATAAGAATTTATCTGTTGACTTTTTCAGAGTCGGAGATTCTTACACACCCGAGTTGGAATTTGGTCAAAAGATATGCTCCCAGCCTTCATTGATATTCAATGATATCTTGAAGATTCCTCATAGTTCACTGTTGAGAAGATTCAATAACCTCGATGAATTCTCTGATGAGTTTTTGTCGATTTTGAAGAGCTCATATCACCAAATCTGTCTTCCAGCTATCTCATTAGATATCCTGAAGATCATTGGAACAAGAGACATTGTAAGCTTCCACAAGATAGAAGTTAACGGAAAGATGCTCGAGATTGAAAACTTCTCCAACTTAAAGATATTTTTCAACAATATCACTGTGAACTGCGAGGAGACTATCATGTTGAAATTGAGATTAAATATGACCAAGTTGAAGTCTGAAAACTTGGATTACAATGACAAGGTAGTTGATCTTCCATTATTGTCCTATATGCCAAGCTGGCTACATGAGAGTGATGATTATAAGGTATTACACACCCAAATCTACCAGAACCAGCAGGCTTCTACCTTCAATTCCTTTCTCGATGGAAGCTTGACACCCCCACTGACAAATGAATGTAGTGCTTTTTTCACATCAGATTTTCCAGTCAAGAGCAGAAAATATGTGAGAAAGGAGATTGAAATTGAAATCATCAAGGGATTAGCATTGATCAGCCAAAACCAAATGTTACACAACCAGGATATTTTAAGGCACTTGATTGATTTCATCTACAATCGCAAACGCCTATTTGAGGAGACTGAATCACTGTCTTTATCCGAATCTACAAAGTCCAGTAACAGCAGCTTGAAACAGTCAAAATTTTCACCTCATGCTACCGAACTCTCTTCTAACAACTACATCGACTCCTTATTGCACAAGCTTGGCAACTTGATGGAAATGTTCAACGTAAACGACCCACTGGTATTGACTGCATGTAAGGATTTCAAAAGTTTGTTGACTTAGAGGGTATTCTTTTCGTCTATGGTTCATTGCACCTATAGCATCAATTATTCATTTCGAATTCTGTATTCACACTTTTACTAGTTTCATTTCATATAACATATACTCATATACGTATAATAAACACGTTTTTAAAGTATCGATCTCGCTTTGTCGGAATAGCCTACTGAAAGCCGAAGCACTTCAATAGGAGTTAGTTGCAAAAAGCACCTTTTTGGGTAGTTCGCGGCCGCAATATGTTATGGTTTCTTCTTGAAAAGGCAATTAAATAGGACATATTATTACATCACGTTCTTCTGTTAACTAGTGGCATTGTTGGGAACTCAGGCTAATGAGCATCAGTAGAACCCCTGGGGGTTCGATGCAGGCCTTCGTATAAATATGATCCTTCTTGATCCCTAATTTTTTTAGAACAAGATTTTTTAGTAGATACAACGAAAAATAATGAGCTTATCCACATTTAGACCTATTAACTCGTTGCCTCTTGCCTTTTACTACGTCAGTAGCGTGCTTAGCGCCAATAGCGGCAGTCTTGATTTAGATTCGTCAGACTCTGACTCTAGTGATGATTCCAGCTCAAATAACGACGATTCCAATGATGATTCCAACGATGATTCCAACGGTAAGACGGCCACGAAAAACACAAACACAGCTGCAACCACAAATACAGACACTGCTACTGTCAAGACAGACACTGCTACTGTCAAGACCGACACTGCTACTGATACCACCGGTACCACCGTCTGGTGGACTCCTACGACCATGACCACTGACACGGCCACTACGAAAGACACCACTGACAAAACCACTGACAAAACCACTGACAAAACCACTGACAAAACCACTGACAAAACCACCGACAAAACCACTGACAAAACCACCGACACTGACACTACTGGAGTCACATACAACCAATATGGGTTTACTGGCAGCCAGTCTAGATGGGAATCTAGCACCGATTCGTCTGATTCGTCCGAATCTCTGTCCCACTCCACTCATTCCACAAAAAACAAAACCTCGTTAGCCACCAGAAATAGCATACTTTTTGCACCCGAAAGGGACTACACTGGCAAAAAGGTCATTTTCATTGCAGGTCTCTTGGGAATTAGTGCCCTTTTCACAGCTTTGTAATTCATTTATAGATGTGTTCATTTTTTATGACAAATATAGTAGAAGCCTGATTCTAGTAGAGGTAACGGTTTGTGGGCCAAAGACGATGCGACTAATTTGGAGGCTTCCCGAAATTTTCATCTAAATTCAACTGTCTAATCTCACTCATGGGAGAACGGGAAGATATCATCAAAGAATATGTTTCGAAGTCGTTCAAACGTCATCCCAAACTCCACAATCCTGGAGCATTCCTGATGTTGAAGCACTGGGTGGAGCAAGTGTACGGCCGTAAGACTGTGTTGTTTTGTGTTGATGTTGAAGCATGGGAAAGAGATATCACAAAAGTCACCGAGATTGGAGTCAGTATTTTCGACCCTCGAAAACAAGAAGATGCCATAGTGCCAACCCTAATGAACTTTCATATTCGTCCTAAAGAGCATAACCATATGAAAAATGGACGGTATGTTCCTGATAACTCGATGAGATTCGCTGGCGATGTTACTCACATTATGACCATGGAGGATTCCATCCGATTTGTACAATATTTAATCGATAAATACTTCAATGACTCGAGTATTTCCTGCTCTTTGGTGGGTCATGACTTGCATGGAGACATTAAATGGCTCAGGACCCTAGGAATAAACTTTCCTGAAAATGCTGCCAGATTAGACACTCAAGTGATAATAGGCTTTTCAAGTGAACGTCAAATGAGTTTAGTAAACTCACTTGTGGCTCTTGGAATACCATATTCAAACTTACACAACGCTGGGAATGATGCATACTACACCCTCTTGTTGGCTTTAAAAGTCTCTGATCCCATTACCAGACAGTTGTTTGGATTGGATGATTCAGTACTTATACAACCCCCAAAGACAAAAAGAAAGGCTACCTGTGAACAGAAAATCATTTCTGACCTATCTGAGATAATAGATGCATTCGAGTCTAACATATATGTTCCATAATTCATTAGTATACATTATTTAATTGGTCCATTATTGTAGCCTGGTACTTATCAAGTATCTTTGAAAGGCGAAGAAGAAATCCAGCACATAGACTCTTAATTTGTTCGTCTATAATTGCTTCCCATAAGCCAATAAGCCAGCTTTGGATCGAAAGGAGGTTACTGCTAAAGTTTATTACCAAATGTTCCTCATCTGAAATATCAGTAATGAGAAGCATTCCAGTGATCACTCCTTCAATAACTTGGGTCTGTTCAGCGGTTGAGGTTTTAGCAATGTCAGTTGCAATGAGCAAAAACTCACGGATCATATCATTGTTTGTTAGGGAAGCAAATGAGCAGTGAAGCAATAAGGCCATGGTTTTCACGTAGTGTCCAATCAACAATCCTGAGTAATGACCAATGTTGATTCCTCCCGATTCATACCACAAATGAGTCAATGGGAAGTAGAAATACTTGCTGATGAGGGTAGAATAGTTGTCATATTTGGGTGTGAGGATGTTTTGACTTTGTTTGGGCCGCATATTTCTTGAGATCCTAAGGATCTTTCCTCCCTGGAGCTGGTCAGCTGCTTCTTGTGAGTCTTCTAGTATAAGAGAGTTTTGAATTGATAAATGTGCTCGTTTCAAGCCTTCCGGTTCGTATTCAATTCGTCCCTGTTTGATGTAATCGAGAGCCAAGTACTTTGCATGTAACCGAGGAGCCAACCGCTTCGTTGGGAACACCTTTTCTTTATAAGACTTGGTTACAATCTCGTCCTTGAACCCTCTGATTTCTCTAGCAGCAAGTGAAAGACCTGTCAATATCATCATTCGCTGCTGAAGAGAATAGTCACCAGTTCCTAACATTTTAGAGATATCCAATGCACTCTCTGGGCAACCAACAAGTACTGCAATAATACAATTTAACTTCAAGTCTTCAAATTTAGGCTCATTAAACTGGTCCTGAAGACCTACTAGTGTCTGGAGTAATTGAACAGCGTTAGAAGACACCTCTACTCCAAAATGTGACTTTTGCCTTATTAATGTGGGACCTTGGGTCAAAGCCAATTTTATCATATCATAGGCCTGTGGGTGTTTTGTATCTACCGAAAGATAGCTCAACAATTCCTTGATGTAAATTGGGGACGAGAGTTTGATCCTTTGACCAATAGAAGGATCATCATCTTCATCATCACTATCTCCAGTCGACTCATCATCAGAATCTTTATAAGTCTTCGTGAAGTCAAGCTTGCTTATGGCAGTGGACAAGTCTTTAATTGATTCAGTATCAGTTGACACTATTGGAGCTTGAACTATTTCCCAGCATGTTTTCGCAGCATGCCTTTGCAACCGCTTTTGATAGCTGGAGTCTTGCAACAAATAATCATATCCTTCCAAATTGCTTATCAGAAAAATTTTACTTACATTTCCAATCTCACAAGCCTTGTCTGCAAGTATGACGGCAAATACTCTCACTGCAGTTGAATAAGAGCCCAATCTGTTAGAAATCCCTTGTAAAAACGAAGGTTTAGTAATAAGCTGGCTTGAAAATGATGCAGGTTGGAGATAGAGCAACTGGATAAGGAAATGGGTTCGGGTTTCCTGAAGGCCTAGAGGCTCGGACTTTATGAATAAAGGACTTGTCCAGTTCTGGAATGTCAGTTCAAAGAGTTGTGATTTCTGCAGACTTACCAATCCCACCAAAGTGCTAATGTTTTTGTCGTCTAACCGTAAGGCACTCTCCACGGTATTTTTATCAAAATAACTGTCTTCAATGACTGGAGTCAATATACTGGCACAAGCATCTACTTTTTCGTAGCTTTCACCTTCAAGAACTTTGCGCTTGGAAAGAAACTGGAGAAACTTCCAAAAGAACAGCTTCTTCTGGAACAGTTTCATCTGCTTCAAGTACACTAGTAGTGAGGTCCACGACACTTCGTTGAAAAATTCATCAAACACAAATAAATAACTAGACTCAGTCAATCCCAATAAGCTGATAAAATACCTATTGAAAGAAGCACTTGGAAGTTCAGTCTTTTTGAGCTGATTACTCAAATATGCAACGTATGCGTCAATAGATGCAAACTCAAACAGATCCCCAGACCCGCTTAGTTCGACCGCCTCGTTGAAAACCCCCAACGCCCTCCCCTTGAAAAGAAGCGTATCTATTTCATTAACCTCAAGAGCACTTTTCGCACGGAGGCTGCAAAGTAACTCATCGTCGAAAACCGCCACCAACACCTTAATATACGTCTGGAGCAACTTGTGGGACAGCTTAGCTTTAAATAAAAGTTGTAGTTTACTCATTAAACTTCCAAGGCCTCGGATAGACTTAATTAGATGTACTACCTGTGACTGAAGATTGGCATCGAGTAAATCGAATATCTGAGGAATCGTACAGTCTAGCAATACAAGTACGACCTTAAGCTCCTGAACCGGACTACCAAAAAGCTTCAGTAGCTTTAGTAGTACCAGTTGGAGCTGGTCCACGCTGGGACTGTTTTGGAGAGTCTCTATAAGTGGATCTATCTCCAGGTCAGTGTTCATCTGTGCACCTCAAGAAAGAAAACGCGCAGAAAAACTTGTCGCATTAGAATGATGTTGGTTGCAAAGAACATCATTTGTACAGCATCTCATCGATGCCTATATGTCTTGAATACCAGGCAGAACTCGTCACTGTATGCATCCTATGAGAGAAAGCTCGAAAACTACTTCAAAACAGGGCTGTTCAATCTCGTGAACGAAAACGCAGAGAAGGGCCTCGAGGACCTCAGGAAAGCCATGCAAATAGTATACCCCAGAAAGATCCCATTGATAGCATTTGACGTCGAAGCGTACGAGAGAAACCTCAAAAAGGTGACGGAAATTGGTATCGCCATCTATGACCCTGTGGCGCTGGAAGGTTCGATATTTCCCATAATTAAGCAGACTCACTTGGTCATCAAAGAGCACCAGAAATTGGTCAATGGCAGGTTCTGTCCCGATAACAAAAAGCTGTTCATGGGTGGCGTATCGTACTTAGTAAGCCTCAAGCAGTCCAAAAACATCATCACCAGTGTTCTTCAAGAATACGTCAACAATAGAAATGCGGCGTTTGTGGGCCATCATATAGAAGGAGATATCAAGTGGTTTCGAAGTATTGGAATCGAAGTCTCAAACAACGCTCCTATCGTCGACAGTAACAAGCTCTACGCGCTCTCGAGGAAAAGAGGAGGAACTCTTCGGGGGGTGCTTCGACTACTAGGAATCCCTCATGGATATCTTCACAATGCTGCCAATGATGCCTATTATACGCTTCTTGCAACCATGGCCCTCTGCGATCCAGTGATACGGACACAAAAGGGCCTCGACGTGTTTGTGGATAATGTCAAGGTACCCGAAGGCGAGGCCCGTCTCCAGAAGTTCTCTGACGTGGCGCAAATGGTGGTTCCTGTTGATGAGAATACCATTATAGATAGTTTGATAGAACCCTAATCACTTAATCCCCAAAGCGCGGTGATTTTTCACCCAAACTGAAAATCATTGAATGGCCAATTTACTACCGGCGACCACAAAAACCATGAAGAAAGCCAGCACAAAAGCCACCAGCAAGGGTTCAAAGACATTTAAATACCCCCGTGTTGCTGATTGTGCCTTCAAGTTCGGTGCCCATGTTTCTACGAGTGGAGGGGTCTCCAATGCTGTCACAAACGCCATGGACGTTGGTGCCTACAGTTTTGCAATGTTCCTTAAATCACCCCGGAAGTGGGTTTCGCCCGAGATCAAGGACGAAGAGGCTGCCAACTTCAAGCAGCTTTGTGAAAAACACGGGTACGACCCTCGAACGGATATTCTTCCTCATGGATCATATTTCATCAATTTGGCCAACCCGGACGCTGAGAAGGAACAAAAGGCATTTGATTCGTTTGTGGATGACTTGAAGAGATGTGAAAAGTTAAACATAGGTCTCTATAACTTCCATCCCGGTTCCAGTCTTGATTCCGACCACAAGGAGGCATTGGCACGGTTGGCTAAAAACATTAACAAAGCCATTGAGCAGACAGACTTTGTGAAAATTGTCATTGAAAACATGGCTGGCCACGGGAACTTGATTGGCTCCGACTTACAGGACATTCGTGATGTGATAGATATGGTGGAAAACAAAGAAAGAGTCGGTGTTTGTGTGGATACATGCCATACGTTTGCTGCTGGGTACGACATACGAACCGAGAAAGACTACCATACGTTTTGGAACAAATTCGAAACCGTCATCGGCTGGAAATATTTGAGTGCTATTCACCTCAATGACTCGAAGGCTCCTTTGGGAGCCAATCGAGACCTTCATCAAAAGTTGGGATATGGGTTCTTGGGATTGGAGGTCTTCCGCATTATTGCCAATGATGAAAAATTGAAGAAAATCCCCATAATTTTGGAAACCCCAGTGGGGAACGACGATTCCATATACGGGGAAGAAATCAAGCTCCTTGAATGGCTCCAGGACCGCTCAATTGATGATGTGGACTTTATTAAAAAATCAAGTGAATTGTCGCTGCTGGGAGCTAAAGAGAGAGCAGAACATTTGAAGAAGTTCGAGGATAAAGCCAAGAAAACCGCCAAAAAACCGGCTACCAAACGGAAATCGGGCTCAATTGACTCGATGCTCCTGAAAAAGCCCAAAACTGAGTAGTCATCTGTAATCTATATTTATTCATGTCTAAGATGCTAGCAGACTATTGGTGAGTGCACACCAAACCTGCTCGCCTATTAATCTCAAATTTTGAGAAGAAAAAAATATTATAGCCTTATGTTTGGAAGTTCCAGTTCAGGATTCGGTGGATTTGGTGCCAATCGGGCCAATAGCAGCTCGCCATTCGCCTCTTCCACAACCAACAACGTGGGCACCTCGCCCTTTGGTGGTGTAAACACCAACACTGGTGGTGGCGCTTTTGGTGCCTCGAACAACAATGCCAGCGGATTTGGATCAACTTCTGGTGGTTTTGGATCTGGCAGCTTTGGCGCCCAAAACAACACCACCAGCGGCTTTGGAGCTGCTCCTAACAACGCTGGTGGATCCATGTTTGGCGCTCCGGCCGCCAATGCGTCGCCATTTGGAGCTAACACCACCACCACCTCAGCTTTTGGCAACAACAACAACCCAGCATTCGGTGCCACCACCAACAATACGAGCGGTATTTTTGGTGGGGCCAACAAGCCTGCTTTTGGCGGGTTTGGCTCACCTAGCACTGCCACATCGCCCTTTGGTGCCGGTGCCGGTACTGTTGCCGACCCCAACGTGAACAACGGTACGGCAATTAAACCGTTTGTGCCATTTCAAGAGAAAGATACATCTGGCACGTCGATCTACCAAAACATCTCCTCAATGCCGGAGTATAAGAATTTTTCATTTGAAGAGTTGAGGTTGAAAGACTATGAACAAAACAGAAAATTTGGTGATGCCAACTCTAGTGCCGCTCCTGGCTTTGGCTTTGGAGCTGGGGCGTCTGGTACAACCACAAACACTGGTTTCGGTGCTACTGGAACTTCTCCATTCGCTACGAACTCAAACACTACTAGTGGGTTTGGTGCGCAGTCAAGTTCTCCATTTGGAGCTAACAACACCAACTCGACTTTTGGAGGAAATACTGGTTCTGCTTTCGGGGCAGGCACGGGTTCTGCTTTCGGTGCTAATACGGGCTCCACCTTTGGCGGTGCCAATAATACTTTTGGAAACCCGACTGCAAACACTTCTTTTGGTGGTGCAAACAGCGCGTTTGGAGCCAATAAGCCTTCTGGGTTTGGCGGCTTTGGCAGTACAAACACCAACACCGGGGGTGGAATCTTTGGTGCAAACAACTCAAACACCAACTCATCACCATTTGGTGGTAATAATACCACTAGTGCCTTTGGTACCAACAATACCACTTCACCATTCGGAGGAAATTCTACCGGAGGGTTTGGCATGAACAACAATCCCGGTACCACCTCGACTTTTGGCCAAAGCAACAGCTCTGGAGGAGGGCTTTTTGGGGCTAACAACAATACCACGTCAGGCTCCGGGTTTGGACAAAATAACGCTTCTGGAGGTGGCCTATTTGGTGCTAATAATAATACCAACAATGCATTCAACAAACCAGCTACTGGGGGATTATTTGGTGCCAATAACAACACTAACACCACTCCCGGATTTGGAGCCACAAATAACACCAACTCTGGTGGACTCTTTGGCGCTAACAACAATGCAAATAATACCACTTCCAATGGCTTGTTCGGTAGCAAACCAGCCACTGGAGGCCTTTTCGGAGCTGCCCAAAATAATACTTCAACCGGTTTCGGGGCCAATAACAATGCTTCTTCTGGAGGCTTATTTGGTAACAATGCCAACAAACCTGCTTCTAGTGGTGGCCTCTTTGGTGGGTCCAACACCAACACAGGGTTTGGAAACACCCAAAATAACACTTCTGGGGGACTTTTTGGTAGTAAACCCGCTACCACCGGTACTACAGGTGGTCTTTTTGGTGCCAATAATAACAATACCAATACCACTGGTGGAGGACTATTTGGCAGTAATAGCAACAATACCAACGCTAACACCTCTGGTGGAGGATTGTTTGGCAATAATAATAACAACAACACTTCTACTGGAGGGGGCTTGTTTGGAGGTAACAATAATACCAACAACACTTTGGGGACCTCTGGTGGATTGTTTGGAAACAAACCTGCTGGAGCCACCGCCTCATCTGGAGGCTTATTTGGAAACAACAACAATAATAACTCATCAGGTGGAGGTCTTTTTGGAGGCAGCAACAGTAACTCTGGTGGGTTGTTTGGTAACAACAATAACTCCGGCAATGCTGGAGGTGGTCTCTTTGGTCAGCAGCAACAACAACAGCAACAACAACAACAAGGTGTCACATCAAACTTGGCTTTCCAAAGCCCATACGGCGACAATCCACTTTTCAAGAACTTGAATGTTCCTAATCAGTCTGGTGGTGCCGTATCCATACCTTTGGCTACACTTGTGGAGTCTGCGAAAGATGTGAAAAAGCCTGTTACTCTCAACAAGGTCCACAGAATATCGCCATTATTCAAAAGCAGTGTAACCCCCTCAACCCGTGAGTCAGTACCAGCTGTTTTGTCGACTCCGAGACAATCTGTTGGTAGTATCACTGTCCCACTGTCTATTGCTCATAAAGCGATAGATGATGCCATTATTTCTTCTGATATATTTGCTCCAAAGGAATCTATCAAAAAGTTGGTTTTAGACAAGTCAAAATCCAAGTCCTTGAAAATATCAGATAAAAAAAATACCCAACATGTTGACTTTAAAGCCAACAAGCTGGGAGTCTCGGATTCCTCAGGATCCAAATTTGAAACTTCTACTCCCACAGAAGAGTCCAAGAGACCTTTGGATGAAGAAGCTTTAGAAGTGGATGAAGACGGATATTGGACGTCACCACCTTTATCCAAACTCAAACAAATGTCATTATCGGAGTTACATTCGATCAAAAAATTCAAGATTGGCCGTAAGCATTATGGCAAGGTTGAGTTTTTACAGCCAGTGGATTTATCCAGCATGCTAAAATTGGACGATATTGCTGGGAACATCGTCACGTTCAAATCCAAACTTTGTGTGATTTACCCTGACGATAAGCCAAAGCCCGGTGAAGGTTTGAACCTACCTTGCAAAATCACCTTACAAGGATGTTATCCAGTCAACAAGAAAGATAAGTTGCCTATTTTGGACCCTAACGATGATCTCGTCAAGCGGCACATCAAAAAATTGAAAATGATCCCAGCAGTGGAATTCAAAAACTACGATCCAGAAACAGGAGACTGGACATTTGAGGTCGAATCGTTCCAATAGGGAGTTGACGTTATGTATAGTATTGTTAAATAGAACTAAGTAAACTAATACTATAAATGGTTTCTTTAGACCACAACAGCCTTATCAGGCCTACTAAGATTCGGGGGATCATTGGGGGGATCATTGGGGGGATAATTGGGGGGAGCGTAGTACGGCGTAGAATCGGGTGCGTATTGGCTGGCTTCAGGAATGCCTTTCTGGGGATATATGTCCTGTAATTGGTTCTGCTGTGCTGCCGCTTCTCGTGTTTTATTTCTCCTCTTAATAGAGAAGTAAATGGATGCAAGTACAAGTAAAAGTACCACTCCACCTACTGCTGCCCCAATTATGATACCAATTGTTTTGGGACTCAACCCACCCGAACCGTTGCCACCACTATGGTAGCCACCACTGTGGTGGCCGCTCGAACCCCAGCCACCACTATGGAAGCCAGTCGAACCGGAGCCACCACTACTATGGTGCCATCTTTTTTCAATTAAAACGCTCATGTTAATTACTAGGCTATTAAATTGGCAAATGCTTGGCTTTTGTAGTTGAAGGGTTTAACAATAGGAAGTTGCAGACGAACTTTCTAAGCCGCGTGCGAGGCTTTTTTCGACAGATGCATGATCACACAAAGCTAAAAATCATTCACATGATCACACAAGGCCAAAAATCATTCACACGATCACAGATTGTTCTCAGATCATTGTAATTACGCCTTCTTTAAAATATCACAAAGAAAGTATCAAAGAAAGTATCATCATTTGCATATTTCAAACAATTCAAGATCGGCGTAAGTAATATGGGAAAGTTATTTGCGGCCAGTGTATTTACTCCGCATGTTAAACTTGGATGAAAAGCCTAAGCCCGGTGGAGGGTTGAACCTTCATTTAGGATGTTATTCAGTCAATAGAAAAAATAAATATTCTAATTGGGACCCCAACTATGATATCGTCAAGCAGTGTATCAAAAATGATCCCGCATTAGAATCTAAGCTAGGCGATTGGAATTTGAGGTCGAGGAGTTCCATTAATGAGGTGACGTTATGTATAATATTGTTAAATAGAACACAAAAAACTACTATAAATGGTTTCATCTGATAACGGCCTTAGCAGGCCTTGTGACAATTGGAGCATAAGCAGGCGGAGCGTAGTACGAATCCGGTGGGTATTGACTGGGTTGAGGAATCGCTTGCTGGGCATATACTTCCACTATATGGTTCTGCTGTGCTGCCACTTGTCGTATTTTATTCCTTCTCTTAGTTTGTGAGAACATAGATGAAAGTACACCTATGACTATCACGACAACCCCTGCTGCAACCATGAGACCAACGAAATGGGGATTCATCTGATCGGGGCCCTCGCCAGTGGGATTAGGATTCCAAACTTGGAATCTTCGTTCAATAGAAACATACATAATAATTACTCTGCCATTCAAACCACCGAAGCTTTGGCTTTTGTAGTTGAAAAGTCGTAAACCATTTTACTAACCCGTGTGTGAGGCTCTTTCGAAATATCTGACTAATCATTCACACTATCACATATTGTCCTCAGATCTTTCACTGATCTGCATTTTTTGAAGCCTCTCAATTTTTTTTTTTGGAGGATCTCGAATATTTTTGGGGAAACTCGAATATTTTTTTGGGGTTTCTCAAGAGGCTGACGGGTCATTGTCTTATCTGAGATGCCAGTTTGATTGAACATATGCTGGACGCGAATGACCGAGGGGGCACTATCCGTAAAAGTTTGTTTGCATTGAACAGTAGTGGCCTCCCTTTATGGAGGTCATGTCTTCTGCTTTTGTCCGGCGCATTTCTTGATCTCTGTTTTCATCATCTTCATTTCTTCATCGCTGTTTTCACCATCTTCATTTCTTGTTTTTCTGTTTTCACCTTCTTCATACTCTATTAATTCATGCGCGGAACGCGTTTTTCAAATCAGCACAGACTTTGAATACAAACTCATCGACAAAATGGGTGTTAAGGGTTTGTCTCGAAACATAGCATCACCATACGCTTCCTATACTAACACATCACAGGACTTAATGCGCTTATAAAAGATCATTCCCCTGGAGCCATTAAAGAGTTCCAATTGAAAAATTTATTTGGCCGGAAAATTGCAATCGATGCCTCAATGTGCTTGTATCAGTATTTAATTGCAGTTAGACAAGGAGACGGACAGAACTTAACTAATGATAAGGGAGAGATCACGTCACACTTACTGGGCATGTTTTATCGTACCCTTCGAATGGTTGAAAATGGGATTAAACCCGTGTACGTGTTTGATGGTAAACCCCCAGTCTTGAAAGGTGGAGAGTTGGAAAAAAGATATTTAAGAAAAGAAGAGGCCATCAAGAAGATGGAGGATGCCAAAGAAGAAGGCTCTGCCGAAGACATATTGAAGTTTGAGAAAAGAATGGTTCGGGTATCTCGTGAACATAACGATGAAGCTAAAAAGTTGTTGGAGCTTATGGGGATTCCCTATATAAATGCCCCATGTGAAGCCGAAGCTCAATGCGCCGAGTTGGCCAGAGGTGGAAAAGTCTTTGCCGCTGCTTCTGAAGATATGGATACCATTTGTTACAGTCCCCCATACCTATTGAGACATTTGACATTTTCTGAGGCTAGAAAGATTCCAATTGATCAGATCGATTGTAAGACTGCTATTGAAGGATTTGAAATGGATAAAAAGACGTTTATTGACCTTTGTATTTTGTTGGGATGCGACTACTGTGAGACCATTAAGGGGGTTGGTCCTGTGACTGCCTTTAAATTAATCAAGGAACATGGATCTATCGACAATATTGTCAAGTTCATAAACGACAACCCCGACAAAACGAAGTATAAGTTGCCCGAAAATTGGCCGTACGAAGAAGCCAGGGAATTGTTCTTGAATCCCGACATTACCCCATGCTCCGAATTGAGTTTCAAATGGAAAGAGCCTGATTTGGAAGGAATGATTGAGTTCATGGTGAATGACAAAGGCTTCAGTGAGGACCGTGTCAAAAGTGGTTACGAAAAGTTGAAAAAGGGCTTGAAAACTGGAGTTCAAGGAAGACTTGATGGTTTCTTTAAAGTAGTGCCCAAGAAAGAAGATGATAAAAAGAGGAAAGCTAAAGATACCAAAACGAATGGTAAGAAGAAAGCTAGAAAGTGAAAGTATTATTTGCTATAAAAAAAGACATTTAATTCAAAAGGTTTGTAATATACAACGATTTATACTTATTGTCCCCTTGCTCTTGGTTTCTTCTTTTCTGCATCAGCTGCCTTTTCAGCTTCTATTTCATCAACATATTTTTTGATTTCCTCGACAGTCAACTGTTGGATTCTATCACCAGACTTCAAGACCGACACCTCAATATTCTTTGCCCCGGTTTGTACCACCTCCAACAATGACTTGATTGTTAACTTGAGTGTTTCTTCATCGGTCATGTTTTCTTCGTAGTTTTTCTCCAAGAATTCTTTAACGGTTTTAGCAGATCTACCAATCGCATGGGCTTTCCAGGCATTATACACCCCTGAAGGTTCGGTTTGAAACAATCTTGGGGTTTCATCATTGGCATCAAATCCAGCAATGATGGTGGCAATACCGAAGGGCCTTACCCCACCGGATTGAGTGTATTTCTGCTGAACACCGGCAATATATTTGGTTAAATACTCCAAGGTGACGGCATCTTCTAACGTCAATCTGTGAGATTGGGCCTCGACTCTGGCCTTGTCAACAAGAATTCTGGCGTCAGCATTCAAACCAGCAAATGCCAATAATGCGTGTTTATCGATCTTACAGATCTTGGATGGGGTAATACGTGGGTCTTGAAGTTTTAAGGTAGTTCTCTTTTCACATCCCAAAACTACACACTCTTTTCCTTTCACTCCCACGGCACAGGTACCTCTCTTGACGGCTTCGGATGCGTACTCAACTTGGAAAACATGTCCATCAGGCCTAGAGAAAAATGTTAGTATACACGAGTCTATTGTTGGTGGCAACTGCGCGGTAGCAGATATAACCATCTCCAAAATAGGAGGTATCGCTGCCGATTAAGTTCACCACCAGTATTGTATAACATACGAAAAGATGGATAAAGCACTATCGTAACCACTCATAGTCAGTTGTTAAATAATTGATGTAAGTAACAAGTATAAGTTCAAAAACCTAGTAAATGTCAGTTGGAAACTTCGCGGATTTTTTTTTTGAGGTTCGAGGTTTGAGGTTTGCAGATGGCTAAAAAGACATCTGGGAAAACCCCTACGTCCATTCCCAAGAAAGACGAGTACACCCGGATATCTTACTTGTACCAGGTGTCACAAATGATGTTACAAAATCCCAAGTTTCACACACTCTCCCGAGTCTACAGCAGAAATGCTACGGTGATATCCAAAAAAGCAGTGCTCAAGTTGACACCTAACTTCAAGAGAACCATGTGCAAGCAGTGTAATACGATCCTCGTTGCTGGGGCCACACTACGGGTCCGGCTAGAGAATTTGTCGGGCTCCAAAGACCCCAAAAACGACGTTCTTATTTATCTGTGCATGGTATGTGATACAGTAAAGAGGTTTCCGGTGGGAAAAGACAGACAGTACGAACTATTTAGCGACAAGCACGAGACACCGCTTGTTTGAAGTGTTTGTGGCTCAAGCAGGTGCCGTCTGGTTTTGGACATGAATACGAATTATGACAAGTATATTAGATTTTGTGCACTAAAGTGCATCCATTAGCATTAGAATATAAACCATTACAAGTACCTAGACAGGCTATTTTTCTGTTCTATACGTCTCTCGGGCACCACTCGGGCCCCTTGCCAGTTATACTTGAATCCTATTTCATGGGCCAAAATCTCTCCGAATCCCAACATCATTCCATTGATGAAGGGTAACACCAAGTTGATGGCGCCCCTCTTCAACACACTCCAAAGATCGAAGTTATACGTGGTGTATTCAGACTCTGCTCTGCCTTCAGCAATCAACTTTTCTGTGTTTAGGATATCCTCGTTACTGATCAACTCATCAGATGAGATCTGGTTGGTCAATACGATCAAGTCATTCTCCTCCTGTAAGCGTGTGACGTCGAACTCCTGGTCGAGGTCGATGCCCTCGACGGCTATCTCCCTAAGAGATTGTTCCATCAAGTCCAGGTTCATAGTTGGTGCGCACCGAATTGTAGCGCGATCACTAATCGCAGTTAATCGCAGTGCGCGCACAAAAACCATTAACTTCACCATTAGCATTATCTATAAAACTATTCGAGACCAACAGATAATCCGTTAGCCAATCTTTTTTCAGTCAAGGCAGCAATCACAGCAGCCCCTACGCCCGATCCATCTTCTGCAGGAATAATCACCACCGGATCCTCGTCCTCGGTCCATTCGAAGATGTCTCTCAAGGCCTTTGCAGCTCTTTCCTTGAATTGCGGGTACTTGTTGTAAACAGATCCATCGGCCGCACAGTGGGCCTTCTTGTAGTTTCTCTTCTTGCAGATGGCAGCAATTCCACACACAGACAACCTGGCGGACCTTTCACCAATCAATTCAGCCAATCTACGAATAACCTTTCTTTCAGGTAACGTCACCTGGATGCCCAAAACTGTGTCAAACAACTCCTGGACGTCCGACAAATTTTCAAATGGGTCGTCTTCGATGTGAGCAGGGAACGACGTGTCCATGATGAAAGGCTTGTGCAACTTGGATAAATCCTGGCCCTTGAAGAACAAGCCCTTTTCTTCGGCCAAGTCCAACAACACCAATCTCAAAACCTCCCCCAAATAATAGCCCGAAATCATTTTTTCAAACGACTGCTGGCCGGGACGAGGTGATTCGGCATCGATTTGCACGTCGTACTTTGTTCTGGGCAAAACTGCGTGCTCGTTGTCGAAGGCTCCGTACTCGCAGTTGATGGCCATCAACGAGGTGGCAGGAATGTCGGATGGGAATTTCCCCTCCAACTTGGGGATGTCTCCTACCACGTCGTAGTAGGCCCCGTTACAGCCAGTACCGAAAATCAAGCCCATCTTGGCCTCTGGGTCCGTGTACATCGAGGCCACCAACGTACCGGTGGTATCGTTGATTAAGGCCACCACGTCAATTGGAACACCCACTTTTTTAATGGATGCTTGTAACATGGGAACCACATCATGGCCTTCCACGTTGTCGATGTCAAAGCCCTTGGTCCATCTTTGCAAGATTCCTGAGTTGATTTTGGATTGGGAACATGGGTACGAAAAAGTGAATCCTAATGGTAAAGGTTCCAGGCATCCTTCTGGGTATTGTTCTTCGACGAACTTGGCCAAGCTATCGGCGATAAAGTCAAACAACTGGTCGGCGGAGCCGGTTCTAAAGCTTTCAGGCAACGCGAACTTGGACTGGGTGGTGTCGAAAGTGCAGTCACCTGCCAACCGTACGAGCACCACTCTCAAGTTTGTTCCACCCAAATCAATCGCCAAGTAGTCACCCGTCTCCTTGCCGGTAGGGGTGTCCATGACCCAGGCAGGGATCATGGGAATGTTACCGCCAGCTTTGCTCAAGCCTTTTTCCAACTCACTGACAAAGTGGGTGGTGATGGTTCTCAAGGTTTCTGCTGAAACCGTTAACAAGTTTTCGATTTCGTGCAACTGTTCCATCCACTGTTCAGGGACATCGGTGAAGGTACCTTTTCTGTGTTGAGGTCTTTTAGGGCCTAAGTGAACCATGTTTGTGTTTTGGTAATATATTTGATTTCGGGGTAGCGGAGTCCGTATTTATATTCCCCAAAAAACCAGTTGGGTGATGTATATAAATCCTGGGCTTTTTTATTTTGCGCGACCGACGTTGGGCCGACGACTGGGGCGGAGAAAATGGGGAAGACCGAAAATGCTGGGGCTAGAGCTATGGTAGGAGTAGGAGTAGGATGTAGAGGTCGGAACTTCGGTGGGTGTATGGGTCAGAACTTCGGTGGGTGGATCGGAACTTCGGTGGGTGGATCGGAACTTCGGCGAAGAACTTCATGGGAGATTCATTTTTGTGCCCTGGGGTTTTTCCGAAACATAGGTTGGTATGCACATAATTGTTCCGGGATGACCCAAGCACACTCTTACCATCAAGTGATGTATGGAGACATGGCATATTTGGATTCTACTGATGTCACGGTGTTATACCTGGGCTTTAACCCATACCTTTCTGTAGGTGATGGCTTGTAAACATTCATCAATACTGAACATAAACTACACATATCATCATACGGACGCGGTTCCTAAAGCCGGTTATGCGGAGTCGTACCTATTTTCCCACAGGACGTTTTAACATTTTTCCGACGGCTCCCCAGTTCCCCAGTTCGGATATGCACTCATGTGGGCCCATGGGCATGCAGAAATGGTTATACACTACCACAAATCTCGAGTGGTGCTATCAAAATTCTTCATGGACTCACTGACTTCTTTTAGGCTCTGTCGCACGTCGTGAATGTAGCTGTTCATGTCGTCAAAGTTTTGTTTCTTGTACACCACGTGAGAGCCACCTCTTTTCTTGGGGCCAAAAAAATCCTTGAATTTATCTTGACGTTGTTTCTGCTTGGACGTGTCAGCATCTTCTTCAGCATCGCTGTTGTTGTCGCTCTCCAGGTGCAGGGCACCCGGCTTGACCCGCTGTTTCAGCTTTTCAAAACTCACGTTTTTGAACTGTTGGTTGGCCATCACTTCTATGAGCTTCTCTTGCAGTAGTTTTAATTTGTTGAGTTCTTCGTTAAACTTGTCGTTGAAAAAAGAGCCCTTGTCCCGTACCTGCCCGGACATATTTCTAACGTCATCAAGAACGTCAATTTGGGTCCATAATTTGTCCAGGTAAGTTATGCTAGGTTTGCTGCTAGGGATTCGATCGAGAGTCCGTAGACTTTGGTTGTCCAAAGTGTCGTAATTTGTGTTTGCATTTGTGTTGGTGGATGTGCGCGAGAGCCGGAACGTGCTACTGGTGCGCTGGAACACCGGTAGGGTGGACGCCGGTGCATGCGACTGTTTATACTTGTGTTGAGGAGTCATGGGTAGTGGAACGAAGTTTGTGCGGAAACAAATCAGTGCGAAAAGATGCAAAATCAAGGCATGAGTATCGGGACCATGTATCGGCAACCTATCATGACCCAGCAGTGGCAGTCGTCCCCGTAGCTGTTTCCTACCGGGTGTCTGCGCTCCTTCCTCAGATGGAAAGATCGTAGCCAAGTACGTTTACCCACTACGGATTTCACTATCTTGTGTTCATTTATCTATATCAGGAGCTAGTACACACCGGTTTCTAAAAACTGGTTGACCGAATCAACCAAACTCTGCTCCAATGAGATCAAGTTATCCAACTTCAATAACTTCTTGGTGGCTTCACAGTCTACTGTCGGAGCCCCAACCTTGTCGTATGGAATCACCTCCACCTCGGGAATCCCAAGCTGGGGGAAGTTTTTCCGGATCAAGTCCACTATATGGCAGTGCTCAAACCTCCCGTTGGCCAACATCAATCTTTTGCCAGCTGCCTCTTTGGATTCAATAGTCAAAACATGACCTTCAGCAACATCTCTCACATCGCTGAAAGATCCAAGGAGGGCCTGTGCAAGAGAGTTATCCTTCTTCAACACATGCCCGACAAGGGATAAGGTCGAAGGAACACTTTCCTTGGCAATGGCCTCATAAGCCTGAGGTCCAAAACACCAGAGAGGAGCAAACGAAGTTACCTCATACTTTGGCAGATTTTCTTTAACATACTTCCAAGCCGCTTCTTCTGCCAACTTCTTGGACCCCCAGTAAGCGTTTTGTGGCTGCAAAGATTGTTCATAGGTAATGGTGCTCCACAGTTCCTCGGTAATAATACTGTCCGGTTTACCGTAGTGGTCTAATGGAGAACAGTGAGCGGCGTAGGAACAGGTGATGACTACTCTCTTGACGTTAGGCCCATACTTTTGTGCAGCTCTCATGATGTTGGTGGTACCATGGACAGCTGGGAGCAAGAGCTCCTTCTCGGGATCTTTGGGATCCAAGATGAGGGGTGAAGCAACATGCAACACATAGGTGATATCCTGGTGTTGCTTGAATACTTCGTCAAAACCATCATCGGCATCCAACTGGGCAACAACCACAAACGAAAAGTTAGGGTCGTTGATGATATCGGCGTAGTGTTGGGATTTTGACTGGGATCTTCCGGAGCCAATGACTTTGTATTTTCTTGCCAATAACTTCTTGACAATGTGTAAAGCAATGTAGCTGGTGAATCCAGACACAAATACGACGGGAGTAGACATTTTGAATTGATTTTTAGATGGGATTTAGGAAGAGAGAAGATTACTTTCGGAGATTGGCTGGCTCTTATATAGTGGTGGTTTGCCGTCAAAACTCGAAACAGAAATCTCCGAATAAGTCGGGGAGATATACTAATTGGGAAGGGTTCGCATCGGAGAATAAGGTTGTCCCTGGGCTGATGTTTTGCTCGCACATATTCTAAAACGGCAATGTCTCCCCCTTCGGCCGTAAAATATATCCGGATCAACTGCAAATGGAACCAAACTTACATCCGTAATCTCTAGCCGGAAGGAAGAGCAGATCAGGAGATCTAAGGATCTGTTTGTTTGTGTACATTCAGATTACCTAAAATTGCTTATTTGTTGGAGGGCATTACATTCTTGTCATGTGACATGCTCTTGAATGAGGTCAGATTTCAATGTAGCAGCAGCATTCTCTGTAGAACTTTGACCCATACACCCACCAAAGTGCTGACGGCTCCTTTCAGTCAAACCTTCTCGCTAGAATCTCACAAAATCAAAATCGCACTGCGAACTAAACACCTCATGAATACCGTTGGGATTCTAAAACCCCAGCACGTTCCCTGGAAGAAACTCCTATACCTCAAGCAACCATACCCCGACAACTACATTGATGAGTCGTTTCTCAACCAGCTCAAACGAAACGAAACAGTCTCCCAAGTACCGTACTTCAAACTTGTTCAGGACTTTTCTTTGATAGTATTTCACGTGAACAACTTGGTATTCGTGATTCTCCTATTTGCAGGCATCTACCACCACCACTGGGACCCGTTTTACGCCACTGCCGTCAGCACCGGCGTCTCACTACTCGGGTATGTGCTGTGGCGGCTCTACCTAAATTCTGGTAAGAAGACTTCGTCTTCCATCAAGCTGTTTGTGCTCATCATATTTGTGCTTTCAATTCTATCCCCGGTCCTCAAATCGTTGACCCGCTCCACCGCCTCCGACTCCATTTGGTTCCTTTCGTTTCTCCTCACGTTTGCTAACTTGATTTTTCACGATTACGCCATCAACGCATCTGGTCGTCCTTATAAACCTATCATCTCCACCAACATGGCACTTTCCAACGCATTGGTCCTAGCGTCACGGTTCTCGTCCGCGTATCAGGTATTCTGTTTCATTTTTGTGGCCATCCAAGTCAACATTTTACTTCCACTCTTTGACTTTTCACTACGAAAGTCGTTTCCTTCCTCGCATTATCATAACGTTCTTTTCACAGGCTTGCTCATGGTGGTGTATACGCTTTTTGTGCAATTATGTGATTATAAACTCATGTTTTTGTACATATTGGCACAAGTATGTATCATTTTTGTGCTTCCTGGCTATTTCATTTTCCTACAAAGGTACAAGAACGAAATTCTGGGGCCATGGGACATCGCTCGGCCAGTGTTTCGCTCGTCTTAATTTGCAGCCACTTTACGAAAACTGCACCCTCCCCGCATATTCAGAAAACGAATTTATAATTAATGAATGAACATCTACCCAGTCTTATTAATACTAGCAAGATATTGCCATATGGTTAATTCCATGCTAAGTAGTATATATATATGTGTATTTGAGCGTGCGCCACCCATTCTTTTCTCACGCCGGCGCGCAGCTTGTTTTCCACTTACCTCACCAACCTCACCATCAGCTACATAATCAATTGCAATCTGTGGTGATGTCGGAAGGAAACAACGCCAATTCTGCACAAGCAGGCGCTAACGGCACCTCCCTGAACAATCCAGGTGGGTCTCAGCAGCCGGTCACGCGCTCCCAGACTGCTGCTCAACAGCAGACTCAGCAAAGTAGAACTAACCAACAAGCCCAATATTCTCAAGCGGACCTTAATAGAATCGTGTTGGAATATCTCAATAAGAAAGGGTACCATCGTACTGAATCCATGCTCCGGCTCGAAAGCTCGAACTCGCCAACTCCAAGCGTTCCATTGCCAAATGCCAGTAATTCGACTTTGGCGTACCCAGGAGAATTGGGAAAAAAGGATAAAGATAGAGAGACCCGAGAAACAAAGGAATTAAAGGACAAACAAGCCCGTATTGAGCGAGAATTGAGGGAGAGCAAGGACAGAGAGTTCCGATTATCCAAAGAAAAAGAGTTAAGAGAGTTAAAAGAGTATGAGGAAAGAAAGAAACGAGAAAATGATCCCGAAATCTACCAGATATGTTATAATACATTAAGGAAATGGGTAGAGACTTCTTTGGACTTGTATAAACCGGAATTATCCAAGTTGTTGTATCCCATTTACATCCATTGCTACTTGGAGTTGATGTCCAAAAACTACTCCAATTATGCAAAAGATTTTTTTGATAAGTTCAAAGCTGACCATGAGATCTTGCATGGAGAAGAGCTCAGACAGTTGAGTGGAATCTCTTTGCCTGAGCATTTGAATGAAAATGATGTTGCCCAAAAGTTCCGTCAACACAAGTATCGGATCATCATTTCTAAAACTTCCATGAACTTGTTGTTATACTTTTTACATGAAAATGAGGCAGTTGGAGGAGCAATTTTGATCCGTATAATCAACCAGTATTTGAACCCAATCATCAAAATCACCCAACCGGACAAGTTGGAACTTGAAGGTGAAGCCAACCCAGAAGAAGGTATTGTATTGGGAGAAGAAGAAAAGGAAATCGATAAGTTCAATGAACAATCCGTATCTTTGGGAAAATTCCCCTTAGACTCAGATACCCAACAAGAGGTAGAGGCTGAACTCAAACTCAAAGATGAAAAGTCAGAGCCGGTGAATGGCAAGACTTTAGTTGAAGAATTCCAAAGCATGAATGAGATAGATGACGATTCTCCCAGTAAAGACAGTTTACCATTGCCAATGAAGGATGCTCTGGATATCAAACGTCTTTTATTGGAAGTTGAAGACTCGCGCAGCAAGATTCGTCTTAGTGACATTCAAGCCTCATGTCCTTCAGTTTGTATGTACACGTTCCACAATAGCAACCAAGAGTTAACCAGCTTGGAATTCAACCAAGACTCGACTATTGTTGCCGGTGGGTTTCAGGACAGTTACATCAAGTTATGGAGCATTGACGGAAAGCCATTGAAATCCATTTTCAAAAAAGACCGCCACAACAATGATAATAGCCGAAAGCTCATTGGACATAGTGGGCCGGTATATTCTACCTCCTTCTCTCCTGACAACAGATACTTGATCAGTGGCAGTGAAGACAAAACGGTGCGGTTATGGTCGTTGGACTCTTTTACGGGTTTAGTGTCGTATAAGGGACACAATCAGCCGGTATGGGACGTCAAGTTCTCTCCATTGGGCCATTATTTTGCCACAGCTTCCCACGACCAGACGGCCCGTTTGTGGGCCACCGACCATATCTACCCATTGCGTATCTTTGCCGGGCATATTAATGATGTTGACTGCGTCGACTTCCATCCCAACTCGAACTACGTTTTCACCGGCTCGTCAGACAAAACCTGTCGTATGTGGGATGTACAGACCGGGACACCCGTCAGAGTGTTTATGGGACACACCGGGCCCATCAACACGATGGCAATTTCTCCCGATGGCCGTTGGTTGGCATCGGCCGGTGAAGACAGTGTGATAAATATCTGGGATATCGGGTCAGGACGTCGTCTCAAATCCATGAGAGGTCATGGCCGCTCGTCCATCTACTCATTGGACTTTTCCAAAGATAATGGAGTGCTTGTGAGTGGAGGAGCTGATAATACCGTTAGAGTATGGGATATCAAGAAAAACACCAGCGATGCCGGCCCTGAACCTGAGACTTTCAGTTTTGATGATGATAACAACGCTGGTGCCAACGGGTCTACCAACGGGTCCAACAACCAGCTGAGCAAAACATCAAAAACTAATAAAAGAGAAGTGGTGGCTACGTCTGACCACATGTCCGCGTACTTCACCAAAAAGACGCCGGTTTACAAGGTTCACTTCACTAGAAGGAACTTGTGTCTTGCAGCTGGTCCATTTTTGGGATAGGCGATATTGTGGTCAGCACTTAATGTCCTTGTTTGTCATATTCAATGCCTTGGCAGTTGTATTGTATGTATAGTACCAAAATATATTTGAAATAAAGCAATAGAACTCGGCACGTGACCCCACCCCCGATTGCCCCTCGTCCTTAACACTGCCTCTTTAACCGGCATATATGGGATCAGATCAATGCTCGTCATCTCATATGTAGTGAAATTTGGGGTAATGCGTCGCACGACTACCAAACCTAAATAATTGCCGTTTTGGGAAGTCTTGTTTCAACATATAAATATCTCATCGTCCACGCATTTCCCAAGAACCGAATACTTTTTAGTTTTTTACCCCAGACCTCCCATAAAATGAAGTTTGCCGCTGCCATTGCCTTGTTAGCCAGTGTATGTGCCGTTCAGGCCGCCGACTCCGAAGACGTTGCTTTCTTGACCAACTTGGTTCAAGATTATAAGAGTCACACCGCTGACTACGCTAAGTTCATCAGAACTGCTTCTTCAGTTCCAGCCGTTATCACCTCCTTGGCTCTTCATGTTGCCACCTATACCGACACCTCGTACACCACTTTGTTGGACAACAACGGGCTTGACATTGACTCGTTGGAAGATTTCGCAACTGAGTTACCATGGTACTCTTCCAGACTCTTGGTGGCAGATGCCGATGCCTCCGAATCCGGAGATGCCTCCGAGACCGATGCGTCTGATGCCTCGTCTACTGAAGCTTCGTCTTCTGCTGCTTCATCTGCTGCTTCCTCCGCTGCTTCGTCATCTGCTGCTTCATCGTCCGAAGCTGGTGCTGCTGCCATGATGGCTCCAATTGGGGCTTTGTTGGGAGCTGCTGCCATCGCGTTAATGTAAGTGTGCGATGTCCCCAAATAGATATAGGTTGTGGTTATCATACAGAGACAGATATGTGATCCACCCAAGCCATCCATATGTATACCAAGCTGTCATGATAATAAAATGTTAAGATTAGACTTCGCCCGCGGTGATGTAAAGTAGCACATACTGTAGGTTCCACAAGAAGTTGTCTAAACAGTCGATGGGGATATTATTGAGAAGTGGTGCGGCCGCTGGGTCGAACGCGCGGTAGAGCGTGCTCACGTTGTGGAGCACGAGAAGTAAGTCTTTGTTGAGAAGCATTATGGCCGTTTCAAACGGCTGGTTTTTGGTGCCTTCGTTCAGCTTTTTCGTACTTGCCGGATCATACAAGAGAGGGTAACACTTGCCTTTGAAATCCTCAATTACCACTCGTTCTCCTTGGACTCGGATGGCGTAATACACCTGAAGGTTGGTGATTTGGATCAATGCCTCCACCGTTTGGATGATGTACCAAATGCCCGTGTTGATCTGAGTGATTACCACCGAATGGCCTTCTTCTAAGTCGTACTCACTTCCCAACCGGGAGTCCTCATGATATAGTTTGTGTAGTAAGTCCTGGATGTTTGCAGGAAATTCAAGGCCCATCACGTATAAATTGTACATGTCGTCTCGTTTCTCTATCTGGATGATATCGCTGATAATTGTCCCAAACCGTTTAAGGTGCGTCCTCATTGAGGAAAAGATGCCATCCAAACTGTCCTGGTAATTTGGAATCTGGTTCTGCACAAATTGGATCTCCAGCTCGGCGTTGCTGGTGAACTCCCGTTTCCCGTCGTCTTTGAACAGAGAAATCTCGTTGATTTTGATCTTGAGATTCATGATCTCGGACATCACATTATCGTTGGTACTTCTTTGTTTGATGATATCCTTTGAAAGCCGACCAAGATTTACCTTAAGCCGTAATGATTCGTTCAGTAGCACCTCCTCGCCAAGGTTGTTTTTGTTGTCGATAATGGTGTCGATGGTCTTGGAGATGGTATGCTTGGAGTGGTGGAGTTCTTTAATGGATTTATCGAGACTGTTGAGAGATCGTATCCCATCAAAGCTGTACGAGCCAAGCATATAAGTGTGGTTCCTGGAATGACTTTGGGTACGAGATGCCTTCTTCATTGAACTGGCCGATGTATAGTACTGATCTTGTAGTTTGACGATGACGCAGTTATCGTGAAATACATCGTCGATTTCAACATTTGGCACCGCCAGAAGGTGGCGGAGGTCAGCGTGCCATCGTATGAAAAGGGTCCATGGGTCGCGAGAACCGGCTCGTACCCATACCTTGATGACGATATCAAATTGGTTACTTTCGGGAACTGTAACCTCGCCGAAGTGTGGACTCATGTTACACTCTATCACCTCACTCACATAAAGGAGGGTGTCGGATTCAGACTCATGGATGCTGAAGCAGCTGTCTAGAAGTCGTGTGCGGTTGAACTCCGCTGCCACAGACCCGCTGTTGGTGTCGGTAATTGGGTATTCCATTTGAAAGAGTGTGTTTCTCCTCTTCTTACTATTGTCTGAAGTAACCGGTTTGGTCGGGGATTTCAGTACTGTTTTGCTGGTGTCAGATTGAACCTTTCCAATTGGCACGTATAAAAGGTTTTTAAGCACCACCGCTCGGAGATTTCGTACTTTCCCATCATTGTGTGCCATTGTCTCACGGTAGCGTAAATAAATGTTTTCGCATTTCTGAAAAACTTAGGATTTGCAATCATCAACAACCTCTAGACTATGTCTAACTATATGGTATGCCTTGCACACTTCTGCGAGCTACATGGGCCTTCGAGTATCATGTGTACCCAGGTGTCAGGCGACGGCACAGCGGTGCCGAAGCTCTCGCTCCTGAGTACTACCAAGCTTCAAACCTGTTCCTCGTGCAAGTTAGCGCTTCCACAAGACGCCTTGAATCTAACCACGAAAACTCCCACGAAAACAAACCCCAACACCTGCTTTGTGTCGACCCAGTACCCAGTTTTCCAGAGCCGGTACACAGCACTCACGAAGTTGATCATGAAGCTGTTGTCGGTAGAAACGACGTCTGACCTTGCCAAACCGTTGTTTATTGGTGACAACCTCAACGGGTTCAGCCTCACGAAAATTTTCAAAATCAAAGACGTCAATGCCCGAGGCGGTGAGCGAAAATACTGTTTTATGGTGGTGTCAGATGAAGAGATTAAGATTTTGAAGAATTGGAACATTATTACTAGCTACTTGACTGAGCTTATCAGTTCAATCCAGAAAAAGGTCCAGACCCTGATCGAACACAAAAACAAGGTCGATGGCAAACATAGCAACTTGAACAACGAGACGTATTTGCGGCGGCTGCTCGTCAAACCCCGTTCGTTGGTGGAGTTGACGGAAGACGATCGAATCTTCGTCAAACTCCATCTAGGAGCCATTCAGTTGGTCAAAGACATGAGCTGAACAATGAGAACCAATTAGGTGACTTGTTTGTGTACCAATTGTTGTCTTTACGACGCGGCGAGGGTCTGACGATGTTTGTAACATCTCATCACCTCGTAAGCGATTGCAGCTATTGTTCGTATATTGTTGCGCGATCGCGACTTTTCAAAAACCACAAACAATGAGATCTCACCGTGTGTACGGTGTATTGGCCCGCTACACATCTCGAGCCTTGCGATATTTGTACTACAAGGCTCCGGTGGTTCTTGTTGTTGCATTGGTGTGTTTTTTCTGCTCGAAAAAGCCTTCTTCTACTGATGTACACTTTAGTCATTTCCTGGATTATTCCCGTACAATGCACCTTTTCCAACCATACCTAGATACTGTCGTCGCGGGAAATTGTGAGCTTGAAACCGGCGGTGATAGAGATATGAACTTGTGGCATGAGTATTGTAACCGGGTCAGAGATCAGTACGATCCCAGAACTCTGTCTGTGGTATGGTTGAAGCTTATCAATGAGCACATAGCTGGCAATACGTTTGATACTTTGAAACTCCCTTTTTCATGGCCCGGTGTTCTTGACCTTCGTACACACCCCAAATCATGTTCTTTGTTCTTGAAATCTCTTGATTTGGGTATTTCCAGAAAGAATTTCCTGCTATATTGCACAAATGAGAATAATCAGCTAAAAATCATAAAGGCATTGGACGTGGCCTCCTCAGAAACAGCCTCTCGAGCGTATGCACAGGTGTACCTTCAGAGTGCTCCACTCCCCGAAAGGGCCATTTTTCTTTTGCAAGACTCGAGTGTGGTTGTTCCTGTTGCTCAAGGACAAATCATGTTATCGCATCTGTTGAACATGAGGGAAGAGGTTGAAAAATTCAGAAAGAACGCCGAACAAATTCCGAGATCCACAGACTATCACCCGATCACTGACTACCCTAGACGAATAAGTGACCGGATCAGTCGAAGTCTCACAAAAGGCGAATTCACGATGGATTATACTAGCATTCTTAAAGATTTGAAGACAAGATCGTCGTTGAATATTTTTGAACAAACACCCTCAGGCAACGACTTGGACCACCGACTTCTCAACACCATTGTGTACCAGCTTTCTCAAGGTCCTAATGCAGAAAAGTACGCCAATGAGCCCAAAATCAAAGGTGCCGGCCACTTTGATTGGAGGTTTTTCAAACACATCGAGCACTCAGACTATGACCGTATCAGCCGGCTACACAAGTTGGCAAGTGCGTGGCTCAAGTTCTCCAACTCAGCCGGTCTCAAAACCTGGTTGGGTCATGGCACCCTTCTCGGCTGGTACTGGAATGGAATGAACTTACCTTGGGATAACGATCTAGATGTTCAAATATCCATGAAGTCACTCATAAAGCTTGCACGTAACTATAACCAGTCATTTGTGGTTGATTTGGATGAAGAAGACCCTTCTGGAGTGGCTGCTTTCTTTATTGATGTAAGCACCCATATCTTCGAGAGAAGCAAGCAAAATGGTGAAAACGTCATAGATGCTAGATTTATCGATGTGCACTCTGGGCTATACATTGATATCACCGGGTTGAGTTTCACCGAGCACTCAAAACACATGTCTATCAGCGAAAAGCAGCTGGTGGAGTTCAATCAAATGTTGGATCCACAGTACCCAGAGAAAGAAAGATCTCAGACCCTCGTGTTATCGGAGTTGAACAAACAGCTTTTTTCCAAGAGGGCACAGTTGTACTACGACCAAACCATCTTCAACTGCAAGAACAACCATTTCTATACCCTTGAAGAGCTCAGTCCTTTGAAGCCGACACTTTTTGAAGGGAAACTTGCATATGTTCCCCCCCAGTATGAGCACATTCTCAAGCGAGAATACCCTCGGGGTCTTTATTATAAAGTGTTCAACAAACACTCATACCACCCTGTTCTCCGCCTATGGATCCCCACTTCCACGTGTAACTTCCTTAAAACCTCCGTGTGCAACGACGCAGATGTGGTCTCATACTATAACCATACTGCCCATCTCACCTACACCCACAAACAAAACATGTTTTATGGAGCCCACCAATTGGACCCGTTGGCGGTGGAGTTTGTCGATCCATGGATGCTAGGACGGTTCCGGCTCCTTGCATCCCTCACGTGAGCATGCATTATGTATTATACAACGTACTATATACAACGTAGTAGAACCATTCTACTCTACAAGGGCATTGCGGCCTCCACCAGAAAAATCTGCCCCCATTCTCGAAGGCGGCCATATCACGTTCACCACCTTCCCGACCACAAGACCCTGGCTGATGGGCCCAAAATTGTTGGAGTCAATCGAATGAAACTCGTTATCTCCCTCGACCCATAGATGATTTCGAGGCACTCTGGCAGTAGGTTTGGGATATTTATGCGTACATGCGACGGTGTCACCGCCAACGGCTATCACGCGCTTTGTAAGGATCTTCTCGGGGCTGAGCGGCGACCGGAAGAGGATCACATCACCACGGTGGAGACTGTCAGGGGATTTCAATCCGAACTTCTGCACCATGGTGATATCATTAGTCATGGTGGAAGTTCCTGGATTGAACGCAGGCGTCATGCTCCTGCCAGTTATGAAATAGGGCTGATACACATGTTCTGTGAACGTGTATATCACCGGCACCCACGTTAGAGTCGCTAGAATAGTTTTGATGTGGACAGCAGCCGACATGGGTGATTTTGGGTTTTCGCATCTTTTGCTGAAAATAACTGTAGACATGAGCAGTGGAGTATTGGACCAGATTCTCCTCGAAGACCTCGCACGATATTGCCCGCAGCAGTTTCTTCTGTTCCACCAGTGCATGTCCAAGCCAGGTGACTGTGATGTCGAACAGGCCCAGCTTGTTGGGTGCATCAAGACCAAAGCACCCTCATTTCAAAAGATCCAGAGTTTCTGCGCCGGGAAACTACAGGCATATGACGCATGTTTAAGGACAAACGGCATGAACCCGGACAGGTGTAAAAGCGACTTGGGAGAGTTGAGAGACTGTGCCTTTGGATGCGTGAAACAGTAGTATTTAGACGTGTATATTTAATAAATTCATTTGGTGTACTTGGCAGGAAGATTGTGAAGCTTTATCGGCGATTGAAAATTCTTGGTGATCCCACGGATGTCGGGGGCCATGTTATGGGACTGCTCGATCTCATGCTCGTGGTGCAACATCTCGTGTTCGATATCCTCTTTGTGCTTGATCAACACCTCAGGATCCTGATCTTTGTGGTACTGGTTCCAGTGGTGCTCTTCGTACTCTCTTTCAAAGTCGAGGTGATGGCCCTGGCCGTAGCCAAAGTCGGGCAACTGCTTGCCGCTCGAGGTAAAGTCAACCCAATTCTGGGCCGATATGTGCCTGTCACCGTTGGTGGCCATCAACAGCAAAATCGTCTCCACCACGTGATCCTTGGCCTGTTGCGTGATGGTTTCGTGGCCATGTTCATGCTGGCCCATGCCCGAGCCGTCCCCTACAACCGTATCACGTGCAAGCCCGTAGATATTTAAGATATCTGTGGTTTCCCACCTGCCGTTGTCGTTGAGGTCGTGGATCTTGAAGAAGGTGATGGGGTCGTACTGTTCAATCTGGTGTTCTTCCAACATGTGCCAGTCCTGCCACAGTATGCCTTCTGGCTTCGCCTTGATGTCGTTGGTGCCGTGGGCTACCACCGCCGTGGTAACAAGGAATATTGACAATAACCGCATGGTGGTGACAAAGGGTTTTTTTCAGTGCGATCTGAAGCGGCCGGTCACCAGTGGGACCGAATGCACAAAATGACAATTATGGCAGAGACTGACTCAACACTCAGCCAGCTCCACCACCAGTCCCCAGCCTATACAACCAACTACTTATCCTTGCCCTTGCCCCTACCATCTCGCCTGATACCCTGTTCTGGCTATATTGCTGTCCCTTCTCATCTGCGCGCTCTTTTCGCCGTCTTCAATCACCTCCAGATGAATAGCCCTTACTCCACAAACCCAAACCTCCTCCACAAAAGCACCACCAGCAGGGTGGGCAGAGAGAATCAGCGGTACAATCCCGACACTGGCTCCCGCATGGTTGCAGGATGTATCTGCTTGAATGTCCCACAAGATAAGGTGATTATGATTCTGTCATCGGTTCATCCCAACAAGTGGGTATTACCCAAAGGAGGCATCGAGCTCGACGAAGGCGACGACTTCGTAGTCTCTGCCGTCAGAGAAACATGGGAAGAGGCCGGGTGTGAAGGGAAAATTGTGCAAAAGCTTCCAATTGTGTATGATAGTCGAGGCAGTAAAGCACCAATTCTACCACCAGGAAAGGAGTTTGACCCCCAAAAGACGGTTCCCAAGTCCGAGTTCCATTTCTATGAGATGGAGGTCGATACTCTTCACACGCAATGGCCCGAGCTGAGCAAAAGGAAAAGACGGTGGTGTACGTATTCGGAAGCTAAACATGAACTATTAAAGGCTAATCGCATTGAGTTGGTGGAGGCCTTGAACCTGAGTGGTATTCATAAGGATGAGGTGCTTGACACCGCCACCGATGCATATTGAATCACTTGAACAAGTCGCCCATCAAGTTGGCAAACATGTTTTGGTTGGCAGCCGGGTTTCCGAGCTTCAAGTTGAAGTAAAACCTACCCAAATACTCCACCGGACCCACGAGTTGATAGTGGGTCAAGTCGGCTTTGTACAAGTCAAAGAGCTTGAGGAACTTGTGCCCGGCGTCCTGCTTGCAAAGGGTGATCACCAACAACTGGACAAAGTTTATCACCGATTTCTGGGGATAGTAGTAGACTGTGTGGTGGTCTTGGGTCAATGTTTCATAATTAGGAGAGTCCTTTATCAATTTAGCCATGAATTTACTTAAACACTCTTTGGCAAACTCGATGTTCTTCAAATAGGCGTAGTTGACCACGGCTCGGGTAATGAATATTCCTTCATCCTCATCGCTGCTCTTGGCCCACTGGTATAAGAAGTCTGTGTAGGTGTTCAACGAGCTGGAGTTTCCCAAAATCGAGTGGAACTCTCCCACGCTAAAGATCTTTCTCTTTTCCACATCGTCGGCCTTGGACTCGCCGAGGCTATTCAAGAACTTGGTGCCAAACAAGTTATGCAAATCGTGGTCTCCAAACTTATTAGATTCGTTCTTGGACCATTCCACCGCCCGTTTGGATAAATCTGCCAACCCCGGATCAGAACTGGGAATGTAACTTATCACCTCGATAATCTTGTCCTTAGCGTCTTTGTCATCAATGGTCTTGCTGCTCTCATGGTATACTTCGAGTAAATACACAATCAAATCGCATGCACTGGTATACTCTTTGTTCTTTGCCAAAATGACCGAACCTTGGTATAAAAGATTGATGGCTTCGTCGTACTGCTTGGCCTTGATGTATCGATTGGCGATGGTTCTCAAGGTCTGGTGGGCCTCGTAGAAGCTGCCGCTGTCGATTTTGGCTTGGAACCGTTGTATGGTTCGGGAAAGCTTGTCACTCATGGTGTTGATTCTGGAAAGTGCGAATAATTAATGAGAGTAATAGAGGTCTTGAAACCTGAGCTGGGCATTGGATTTTAAGTATGGAATGCTCTAAAGTACAATGTTCGTCTATCTAACACCATGAATCGTCGCTGTCATCAATTTCCAATGCTCTTTTAAACTGACGAAGCCTCTGGACGTTTGCTACATTGAGCTGCCACACAGCAGGACGAAGGTTATTGGTTCCACAAACATCTATGCAGATTTGCAAGGTCAAAAAGCTCACTAGAACTACCACCGTGTTGAATTGTGTCACCTGCTGGTGACGAGCCACCCATCTTTGTAACTGTACCTGTGAACAGTCGTCAACCACCAACATCTTAAGCCGGGGAAGCAGCAATGATCCGATGACGACAAATACATCAAGATTCTTCGACTCGATGAACTGGAGCGACAGGGAAGACGAATATATAGCTTGTGTCCAAATTTCAAGAAGAATGGCGAAAAAAATAGGAGCACTTTCGTTTGGCAAAAACACATGTTGACGGCGGACTATGAATGATTTCGAGGTGATGCTGAGCTTTTTGAGGTGGCAGGTTGTGGATGGTTTTAATATATGTAGCAAGTTCCTAAGGTTTCTGATGTTCCAACTTCTTCGATTGGGTACCAAGCCCACATTCAACAGATGAAGCTGGGGTGGAGGAGTATTGAACAACTCCAAGAACCACCAGTCGTCAGCAACAAGACTAAGGATCCGGAGGTTCTTCAAGGGTTGAAGGCGGGAGTAGTTGAATTTTTTGTATGCTGTGTAGGACCGACGGTTTGTAATGTGAAGTTGCAAACACGTCAAATTTGCAGTCAACGTAGCACTGGACAAGTTGAAGTTAAAATTGACAATCAAGGGTATGAACCGGTAGAAACAAGCCAAGTAGATACCATAAAGTTCCTTACAAGTGTACTGGATGTGGACATCTTTGAATGGAATCAAGTAAGAGAATATGCGTACTTTCACTTCTGTGGGCAATTGGGTGAGTCCCATTTTGCAGCAATTTGAAACCACGAGTGGGAGACTGGATTTATACCGGGGAAACACGGCAGCAGCTAAGCTCTTGAGTCTGTGTCCCATCAAGACAGTATTGTTTTGGTGAAGGGACTTTGGTGGAAGTTGCCCAACGATTGGAGTTTATCTCTCGTCACTTGGGGTGGTACAAAAGCGTCCTAATTCGCACCCCGGAGGAAAATGAGTTTTTTCTGACTGGACAATATACCATGAGAGGCACTCAATCATTATTAAAGCACATTCCGTTGATCAAGTTTGTGGGAGGACCCCACAAGCATGCAAGTACGTACATATAGACAAACCTATCACCTCGGTTCCATTGAAACTCGCGTTCAAGTCACTAACACCATGTCTAGAATCAGTTGCCGGGATTCACCCGATGGCTCCTGATGGATTAAAACCAAGTTCTTCTAGTGGCACCACCTCGTCACCATTTTCCAACCCAAACCCACTAGAGCCAAAGGATGGTGAATACTTTTCCAGATCACAGTTGCCCTTGAGATTTAGATACAAGGTTCCTAAGGAAGATGAAGCTGCTAACATTGTGAGCGGAGGAGCCGAGATTGTGTTTTAGTGATAAAATATACATAGAATCTATGACTATTTATTGTCCCCTGTAGAATGTGTATATGTACACGTTGTGTTTGTGGTGGATATCTGTCTATGTCCGGAGGGAGTGGAAAGGGAAACGGGCTCCACACGACCCGGATTGTCGCAAACCTCGCACTGACAAGTTGATAATCGCCACTCTACAAACACCACCATGAATCACGATCCATACCAGTGGGGAAGACCCAGTGACCAAACGTATGGTCAATATAACCACGCCATTGCCAATGCTAAGAACGCACCGGCCGAGCATGACCTGTTCCCCAAAATGAACACGCAGAATCCCATCATCACCAGTACCTCCGTGTTGGGCATCAAGTACAAAGATGGCATTGTCATGGCTGCAGACAACTTGGGCTCGTACGGGTCGCTTTTGAGATTCAACAATATCGAAAGATTGATCAAGGTGGGCAAGGAAACCGTGGTTGGTGTTTCGGGGGACATATCTGATTTTCAGCAGTTACAAAGAATATTGGATGAATTGGAGACTGAACAAGAAGTCTACGACAACTTTGGAGACAATAACTTGAGGGCTCCTCATGTGCATGAGTTCTTGAGTAGGGTGTTGTACAACAGAAGGTCCAAGATGAATCCCTTGTGGAATTCGGTGATAGTCGCAGGATTCAATGATGATAGAAGCCCATTTTTGAAGTACATTGATATGTTGGGAGTAACCTATGGAGCCTCGACGTTGGCCACCGGATTTGGCTCGTATTTGGCGGTTCCATTGTTGAGAAAGGTGATTCCAGAAGATAAGGATTATGTCAATGTGTCTGAAGAAGAGGCAAAGAAAGTCATCATGGACAGTATGAGAGTGTTGTTTTACCGAGATGCCAGGTCAGCTGAGACGTTCACTTTGGTAACTTTGAACTCTGAAGGCGTTAAGTATGACAAACAGGTCCAAGTGAGTAACCAGAGCTGGGAATTTGCTAAAGACATCACTGGATATGGAAGTAAGCAATTGTAGTGTTAAGCGCTTTTGCATTTACAGTTGGAATAATATACATCAATACCTACGAAACCGTCTCATGTCAATATCCACATGAACACCGACCCAAGGGCCAATCCGAAAGCATTGGCCTTTTGGGATCCTTCCCCTTTAAACAGGGAAGTGGAGATTAGGTGAGCAGTCGAAACAGTCTCACCGTTTGAGGGTTTGGAATCCGCGGTGTTCGCAGTTAATACAGCCGCTCCTTGTGGAATGATAGTGGACGTGATAACATTTGTGACAGTAGAAGTGCCAACATTTGTGGCCTCTCCGTTAGAGCTCTGTGGGGTATTATTTTGAGCTGCTTTGGTTCCTGTACCAGCTTTGGTTTCTGTACCAACTTCTATAGTGGCACTCGCACCTTTCCCTGGCTTGTAAATCACTATCGTTTCTTCACCATTTGAACAGGTTTTGGCGGCAGTGGAGGTGATGGTGGAAGTCCAAAGAATAGTGATAGTGGCACTTGGCAGTTGGGAGGACGCAGCAACATCAGTTGAAGTGCTACAAGAAACTGTAAGAGTATCAGTGACAAGTGCGGTGGTGTGCTCAGTGTCAATCACTTCGCTAGAACCAGCTGGGGGCACAGGTATAAACGAGTCAACGAAAGAGACCGTTCCTGATACAAAACCGGTAGTTGATTCAGAAGTCGATACAGAGGCTGACTCGACCGACTCGACTGACTGACTGGACAGTTCCGGAAGAGAGGTACCTGTGACGCTGCTAGATCTTTCACTCAAAGTGTGTGAACTGCTTTGGGAAGATTTTAAAGTACTGGATATTTGAGAACTGGATGCTTCAGATGAGCTAGATACTTGAGAAGAACTAGATACTTCCGATGAACTAGATACTTCAGAAGAACTCGATGCCTCAGATGAACTGGATGCCTCAGATGAACTGGATGCTTCAGATGAACTAGATACTTCAGAAGAACTAGATACTTCAGAAGAACTCGAAGACTCCGAACTTGACACAGAACTCGATTCGGCTCTCAGTT